TGTCTTCAAAAAGTGTCATTTTAGCCTCATGTGTGAGCACCATTTTTAAGTTCATGTTGGCCATGTCTTAAGTGTTATTTGTGCTTATTTTTCCATGATATAGCACTATTTTTACTTGGTTTAGACACACCATGCTTGCCTTGCATACTTGTCTTGTAATGCCATAAATTGTCTTAACATGTGCCTAGCATTTAGACCACTATGCTTACTTGTTTTGACCTAGCTTTGTGAATCTTTTATGCTTGTTTTAGCATGCTTAAGGTCTTTTTTTGGTTTCTTAGGCCATCCATGGCTTGCTTTGTATAGCTGCCATGTAACCCCCCTTGGCTTGCCTTGAGTTTAGACCATTGTTGCATACTTAGCTTGAAATGTTTACTTGGTTTTGCACCTTCTATAACATGATTTCAGAGCTTTCTATGCATGCCATGTATCCATGTTTATCCTCTTTTAAGTGCGCTTCGAAGTTGCTCTTTGGTGCCTAAGTGTTGGACCTTGTGTGCATGCATGCTTGTATGTGTTTTGGCCCTCATTTCCATGACATTTGGCCGCTGTTTTGGACCTAGTAGAGAGCTGTCCAAATTAGTTTAAGACCATCCATTTGGCATGTTGTTGCATGTTATACATGTTTGTATGTTTAAGTACTTAGCCTATTTACATGTTGCATGTTTAAGTGTCATCGCATTTGGCATGCTTCTTGTATTAAGTTGCTTTGCATATTTACATATGTTCTGCCTTTCATGTTATTGCATGTGTGTCATTAACATTGATGTTATATGCCTTGCATGCTTACTTGTTTAGTTCATGTGCCTATTGCACATGGTTTTGTTGTTTGCATGATCATGTTGCACACTTAGCTCACATGCCTAGGTTGCATTACATTGGCATGCATGCTTTACCTCTTGAATTGAGTATGATAGAGGTTGAGCTCATTGTTTGTTTATGTGCATTTCATTCTACATTGAAAATACATACTTGATCTCTTAAGCCATCACGCATTGAAATGCGCGATTGGTGGTCCAAGAATCGAGTACCATACCCCTTTGAGTCATAAATATGATAAGGGATGTGGTGGTGCATATTTGCTTGAAATGCATTGCCATGCCTTGTTTTGCCTTCTGCTGCTGTCAAAACAAGTTCTATAGGAAGCTTTGGCTGGCCGGCCATCTATACTGTCGACCGGCCATCCATTGTTGGCTGATGGCTTTACAAATGGTCAATGACCATACGGACATGGCCGGTGGTGTTCTGTCTTGGCCGGTGATGTTCCACAGTGTCCATAGAGTGGTCCCTGGGACTTATGCAATTTTCAGAGGAGTAGAGCAGGGAAAACAGAGGCAAACTTGTGCATGGCAACGGATTTCCGAGCAAACCCGAGCACGCGTGCATTGGACCCTCTTCCGAGGCCTTTTACTGCTTTCTTAGCTTAGTTAATTTGCTTAACTAGTTAAGTGGTCTGTAATATTTGATTAGCTTATAGGTTAATTAATTTGTATTATTCTTTTGGTCCCTCCGAGAAAGGAAAAATTTGTAATAAGTGTGGGTGCGTGTGTGCATGTCTTCCAACCCCCACTTCTTTCTCCCTTTTACTTACTTGCTTTGATGGTTAGTATTAGGGCATATTTAATTTAGCATACCTCATCCTATGCATGCGTGCATCATTCATTTGTCTTGCATGCACCGGGCTCGGCGCATCATACTAACTGCATTGTATTTCAATTCCAAGTTGAATACGTGTTAGTTGTAGCATCATCATATGTCATCCATAGATTAGCCGAGCCTATTATAGCTACATCTTGCATGTGTTGCATTAGCCATCTTAACATGAACTAGGATCATGCATATGATTACTAACTAGTTTCTGTTTTGGCTTGGAGTACTCGGTAAGCATTTATGTTTTAGCATCCTTACATGCGTGTGAGTGTTGCCATGACAGCATGCTTACCATGAGGCTACTTGCTTATGTGATATAACTGCTTGAATGCCTGTGGATGGAGGCTGAATTACTAAATTGGAATAATGCATTAAAACTGTGAGTTTTAAGCCCACTAGATAGTGGCAAAACCATCTTTTCTAAAGCCCACTTGAGGGTGGCGAAATCTGCATTTTAGCCTACTTGCGAGTAACAAACCATTTTGAAAACAAACATGCAATGTTTTGTTCCAATTTAGGCGATTTGGTCTATACTTGTTTGCTGTGCACATAACATAGTAATTATAGGCTAATAATCAGAATAAGAACACGTAATGCTTTCAAAACAAGATATCATGGTTAGTAGAGGCCGATCTTTGATCGGGCGAGCGGGGGTGCTCATAGCTGACCTTCCCCAATCGTACCCAAGTTCCCGAGCCGAGGCAACTTTGGTGATGACGGACACATGGCCTTTGGCACTAAGTCAGGGTTTCCTAAATTTCCCAAAATAAAATATTTAGGTGGCGACTCTGTATCTGGCAAAGCAGTCCATGTTTGGGACTTCTTTTCTAAAAATCTGTTTTTCTCAAAATGATTTGCCGGATTTGGACTCTTTGGTTCAGATTAAGAACCGTGACGATTTGAGAGTCCGAACTGTAGTAAGCCCAAAACGAACAGAACGGGACTCATCCTCCCGGGGCATTAGGGGACGTCTACACTAATATGTGTACATTTGGACATTAGTTAGTTATTGAATGTATGCATTTTTTTTTTTAATTTTTATATCTATAAATGGCTGATTTGTTGTTTTCCGTTTTGTTGTTCATGTAGTATTGGTTTTGTGAACATTCGAATATAGTGGAGCCTCAAACTAACAACATGTTTCCCAGGTTCCTTAAATGGGACATTGGGGCATTAATGAATAAAATTCAAGGGGTGGATTTGGTGGGTCCAATTGGTTTTCAAGTAACTTGGTGTAGTGTACTTGTTGCGTTAGTTATACACTTTATTACTGAAGTTTGTACTAGTGTGAATAAAATGTAACTATTAATTCTGATGTGTTTTTATTTACAGGTTAAAGTTGACCGTCTGAGGTCTTTTGATTATGAACGTGAAGTTATGGGCACAAACATTCAGATGGAGGAAGAAGGTTTGGCAGATATCGATGGCGGAGGTGTGGATTGTGACGGTGTGGACGAGCATTTCATGGAAGAGAGGATGGGAAAAAATACAAGTGCTCACCAGGTGGTGCAGGGCTGCAACATTGAAGTAAAACAGTTCACAGAGCATGTGGATCACAATTCCGGTATTGAAAGGGTTATTAATGACAAATTAGAAGAGGCACTAATTGCAGTCACAAACCTTGAAATGCAAAACAAAAAGAAAGATGAAAAAGTATCATTGCTTGAAGAAGAAGTTGCTGGATTAAAGAGGAAGGTGGAGTTGTAAGCTGTTAACATAGTAGGGGGATTTGAGTGTGTGGTGAAGATGAAAGACGATGAGTTGAGTAAGTTAAAAAATGAGAATGAGGAATTGCGGAAGAGAGTGTTGGTGCTTGAGGACCAATTAGAGGACCGTGATGTCACGTTGTGACGCAACGGTTTCGGGAAGGCGTGGATATTAGGAGTAGTGGTGGGGTTAATGTGGGGAACGATGGATGTGATGGTGTTATGTTCTGTGATGTGTCACCTTTGCATATGTTGCCACAGCATGGTCGCAGTGGTCATGAGGGGGTGGTGGACACTGTGGCAGAGTGCAGACCAGAGATGCTTCATGGTCATTACGGTAGCAGTAGTTCTGCTGCTGAAGTTGAAGGCTTGATGAGTGGTGTTGAATGTGTTGCAGGATTGGGTTACGTAAATTCATATGTCCGTAAAATCAAGAACAAAGTGAGAAGGAAGCGAAAAATGCCTGAGTTTGATTACCCACTGTTGGGTGGGCGTACTAAGAAGACAGTCGGGAACAATTGTGACGGAGTGGATGAGAGCAAATGTGACGTGTATAACGCAATTATTGATGTCGATGCGGTGGTGTTACCTGAGAAAAAGTGGTCTGGGTTTGATTTGAATAACCGGTTGGGTGTTTGGAAGATGATGACAATGGATGAGAAGGCAAGGATCACCAAAGCGTATGAGAGGCACGGTGATGGGTACGTATTTATTTTGAGTGTTATTTGTGTTGTTTGTATTTATTTGTAAATTTGTATAATGTACGTCGGCATTCTGTACAGGGCGGTCATGTGGGAGGATAATATGAATGGCGTTGTGGTTTATTTCAGCGATGTGAAAAACCTTATACGCCAGAGCTGCATGCGTGGGAATGTGAGTGTTTACATATAGTGGTTGTAATGTTGTATTTTCTATTCATATATTTGTGGTTAATTTTGTTTTAAATGGTGGCATCATGACGATTATTTAGTTTCTACAGTATTGTTGTGAAAATTGGTTATGGTGGTTGGTAGGTCGTTGATGCGTATGTGGAGTTGTTGAAGACCGACCAATTGAGGATGTATGGAGACAATGAATTGGTGGACAAGTCTTATTTTTTCAGTAGTGTGTGCCTGGTGAGTTTGTGGTTTAGTTAGTTTTTTTTTTTTTTTTTGTGGGTGGTGTGGTGGTGTGTTGTTTTGTTTTTATTTTATTGTATTTTTATTTTATTTTATTTTATTTTATTTTTTTTTTAAAAACAAACATCATCATCGCATTGTTGCAGAACACAGCCGCTTTATATGAAAGAGAAAATATAGGGGATGTGTAGATGAAAATAAAAAGAAAGGAAAGAGAGGGTTAAAAGTGAGAGAGAGAGAAGTATTATTGGAGAGGACGGTGGAAAGATAGGATAATAAAAAAATATATATATATACAGATATTAAAATAAAAAAAAAGTGGAAAAGAACGTGGGTGTGGTGTGTGTGTGTTGGTAATATATTAAAAGAAAATAAAAGAAATCTAGTGGGTTGAATAAAAAACAGGTAGTGGGTGTGAAAGTGGAAAGAGGAGAGAGATGAAGGAATTAGGGCGAGGAGAGTAGAGTTCAGAGCCATTCGGTGTTTTCCCCCTCTCTCTCTCTATTTGCTTCTCCAAGAGTCAGACGATGAAGCTAGGGCTGAGCAGAGTGCTCGTGCCGTTCTACCCCATGGCGGGGCGGCTCGGTAGAGACGAGGACGGTCGAATCGAAATCGATTGCAACGCCGAGGGAGTTCTGTTCGTGGAGGCGGTTACGGAGGCGTGTGTTGATGATTTCGGAGACTTCGCACCGACTCTGGAGCTCCGGCAGCTCATTCCGACCGTCGATTATTCCGGAGGGATTTCGTCGTATCCTCTGCTCGTCTTGCAGGTGACATACTTCAAATGCGGGGGTGTATCACTTGGTGTAGGTATGCAACACCACGTGGCAGACGGAGCTTCTGGTCTCCACTTTGTCAACACATGGTCTGATATGACTCATGGTCTTGATCTCACGATCCCACCATTCATTGACCGGACCCTCCACATCTAGCGAGTTGATGGAGGTCTGATCTGAGAAGAAGAAGGGAGAGGTTGGGTTTCCCTGTTGTTGTTGTTGTTGTTGAGGGAAAACAGAGACAGAGCATGGCTTGGTTTCACCCTCTGTTTCTAAAATTCCAGCGGGCAGCGAAGGCAAGGTTGCCGGCCGGCTGCCCGCCGGTGAGAAAACAAAATACAGGCCTAAATCTTATGGCTCTGATACCATGCAAAAATGTATGTATTATTGATTGATATTTCTGTATATTACAAGATTGATTTCTGATATTGTGTTATGTATTACAACTCCTATATATAGAAGAGAAGGTGGTAGTAGGTGTAGTGTAGTGGAGGTGGTAGGTGAAGTGGGTGCTAGTGGAGATGGTAGGTGGAGGAGCAAATTGGTAAATTCTAACACACATGCACCTAACATGGTGTAAGAATTTCAAGAAAAAGAATTTGAATGCCTTCTAATAGTGCTTTGGCAGTTTTATAAAGTGAGATAATATATGTCATGATTAATAAAAGAGAAACAAGCACGTGGGTCTTTGATACACTGTAAATCTGTGGCTTAGGACCTATATAATTTGCACTATAGCAGACATGAAATACAATCACAAGTTGAAATCTTTGATCCATACGTCACTCATGTTATGCATGGTAACCTTATGGTCCTTACTGAAGCTGAAAATTTGCAAGTAGTAGTGGCTGGCAGGAAGGAGAGCTGTGGATATCTGTGAGGAACATGCCCTCAACTAGTTGTGTCATGAATCGTGAGACTATGCCATAATATGTTTCATTCTTTTTTCAGGTAACTTGGTGTAGTGTACTTGTTGCGTTGAGTTATGCACTTTATTACTGAAGTTTGTACTAGTGTGAATAAGATGTAACTATTAATTCTGATGTGTTTTTATTTGCAGGTTAAAGTTGACCGTCTGAGGTCTTTTGATTATGAACGTGAAGTTATGGGCACAGACATTCAGATGGAGGAAGAAGGTTTGGCCAATATCGATGGCGGAGGTGTGGATTGTGACGGTGTAGACGAGCATTTCATGGAAGAGAGGACGGGAAAAAATACAAGTGCTCACCAGGTGGTGCAGGGCCGCAACATTGAAGTAAAACAGTTCACAGAGCATGTGGATCACAATTCCGGTATTGAAAGGGTTATTAATGACAAATTAGAAGAGGCACTAATTGCAGTCACAAACCTTGAAATGCAAAACAAAAAGAAAGATGAAAAAGTATCATTGCTTGAAGAAGAAGTTGATGGGTTGAAGAGGAAGGTGGAGTTGCAAGCTGTTAACATAGTAGGGGGATTTGAGTGTGTGGTGAAGATGAAAGACGATGAGTTGAGTAAGTTAAAAAATGAGAATGAGGAATTGCGGAAGAGAGTGTTGGTGCTTGAGGACCAATTAGAGGACCGTGATGTGCACGTTGTGACGCAACGGTTTCGGGAAGGCGTGGATATTGGGAGTAGTAGTGGGGTTAATGTGGGGAACGATGGATGTGATGGTGTTATGTTCTGTGATGTGTCACCTTTGCGTATGTTGCCACAGCATGGTCGCAGTGGTCATGAGGGGGTGGTGGACACTATGGCGAAGTGCAGACCAGGGATGCTTCGTGGTCATTACGGTAGCAGTAGTTCTGCTACTGAAGTTGAAGGCTTGACGAGTGATGTTGAATGTGTTGTAGGATTGGGTTACGTAAATTCATATGTGCGTAAAATCAAGAACAAAGTGAGAAGGAAGCGAAAAATGCCTGAGTTTGATTACCCACTGTTGGGTGGGCGTACTAAGAAGATAGTCGGGAACAATTGTGACGGAGTGGATGAGAGCAAATGTGACGTGCATAACACAATTATTGATGTCGATGCGGTGGTGTTACTTGAGAAAAAGTGGTCTGGGTTTGATTTGAATAACCGGTTGGGTGTTTGGAAGATGGTGACAATGGATAAGAAGGCAAGGATCACCAAAGCGTATGAGAGGCACGGTGATGGGTACGTATTTATTTTGAGTGTTATTTGTGTTGTTTGGATTTATTTGTAAATTTGAATAATGTACGTCGGCATTCTGTACAGGGCGGTCATATGGGAGGACAATATGAATGGCGTTGTGGTTTATTTCAGCGATGTGAAAAACCTTATACGCCGAGCTGCATGCGTGGGAATGTGAGCGTTTACATATAGTGGTTGTAATGTTGTATTTTCTATTCATATATTTGTGGTTAATTTTGTTTTAAATGGTGGCATCATGACAATTATTTAGTTTCTACAGTATTGTTGTGAAAATTGGTTATGGTGGTTGGTGGGTCGTTGATGCGTATGTGGAGTTGTTGAAGACCGACCAGTTGAGGATGTATGGAGACAATGAATTGGTGGACAAGTCTTATTGTTTCAGTAGTGTGTGCCTGGTGAGTTTGGGGTTTAGTTTTTTTTTTTTTTTGGGGGTGGTGTGGTGGTGTAACGTTTCATGAGAATGATGTATTTGTAGGGCGTGGTGAAAAGTAATGACGTGCGTTCAATAGAAAACTACATCCGGAAGAACGTGTCTGCAGGTTGCGAGTTTCGTTTCATCCATTTTCCCATGTGTCATCTTGGGCACTGGACGCTTGTAGTATACGACACTGAAGATAGTAGTTGGAAGCATTACAACCCGATGAGACAACGTGGGAATAGGACAGATGTGCACTACACCGAAGCTGTTATGCTGGTAAGTATGTGTAACTAGTATGTGTGTTGTGTAAATTGGTTGTAGTTGTGTAGACGATGGTTGGTGATTTGGTTTAATTTTGTAATTTTATTGAATAGCAGAAAGAACGTGTGTCAAATGTTATGATGCAATCGTTACGTCAGTTTGGACTGGATGAGCAGAGCATTGAGGCAAATTTCAGGCATCCGTTAGAGGCCGTAACTAAGTGTCCACAGCAAAAACCAGAAACATAAGTAACAGTGTTGTCGTAAATGTAAGGGAACTATAATTATAACAATGATGTTATGAGTGTCGCTGGTTACATGTGCTTATTTCGTGTGCAGGCTTGATTGTGGGGTAATAGTTGTGGTATAATGCGCTAGTACGTGTATCGTGGCGATGTGGAGTGAACGTTGCAAGGTAGTAATTGTAGCGTGTTGCGAGCAAACATGGTTAAGTATTTCATCAACGATCCGACTCGGGGGTTGAAGGATTAGATGTGTTTGGCCTGAAACGAGGACGAGAAAGAATTCGGACGCAGCAATTTTTGTTTTATGCATTTTGTTTGTTTTTTTTGAAACAACATGTTTGTTGGTTTTAACTTGTGGTTTGGAAATTCAAGTTTATAATTTGTTAGAAATATTTTTTGTGGGTGTTACGTAATAGTCGTTGTGGATAACGTTTTATGCATTTTGAATGGAAGTATGGTATGATTTGGATTATGATTTTGGTTGTTTGTTTGGCCTATTTGTTGATGCGTTTGTAGGTAGGTTGTGTGATTGTAGTGAGAAATTTCAAACAAGTAATGGAAGTTGATGTAACGGTTTTAAGTCATGTGGGACTGCGTTATGGGCAGAAACTGTGTGACGTTGATGTACACGTAGTGATAGAAGTTGGGTGTCGAAAATTGTAAGATATTAATTACATTGATGTATAAGTATGGTATATATACGAAAATTATAGTCAGGGAAAAGATGGAAAACGACACAACTATGGGCCGCAGGATGGTTATCCGGACAAAATTGAAAATGGTACAAACATGTTTGTTACCAAGCAATTCTGTGCTGTATTTCTTCTTTGTGTGTAATGTTTGCAGATGTGGCAGTTCATTTGGTCACATGATGACAAAATATTGCAACTACATATATTGAAGTATGGTGTATGTGCTGAAATAAGTAGCAGTACAATACGAAGCAAACGTAAATAATATGATGAAGGGGTAAACAGAATAGCACACCAAGACTAAATTTGTTCATTGACTCTTCTGTCTGAATGACGGAGTAGGGAATTGTGGAACATCCACTTATTTACTAAAAAAACTGTAAAAGTTTAATGTGAAAAGTACGAATCTACGAATTTTGTTTGGAAGCTAAATTGGTTCCTTGCATGTTTTCCTATTGTGATTACCCATGCGTTGACAACGACCACACCAAATTTGTTGGACTTTTTCTCCTTTAGAAAGCAGGCGTTTCTTCTTAGGCCTTCCCGGTGGGCGTTTGACAGCGAGGGGTTGTATGACAAAATCTGAAGAGTCAAATTGTGGTTTTTCTACGGTTGGAATGGGGGTTATGTTATGTGCATATGAATTCTGGTACTCAGTCACATGGTAGTAGGGAATAACTAACTTGTACAGATCTAGACCACTGTTTCAGATTGCCACAATTGCATGAGCACATAGGAAGTCGTTAATTTGCCACTTGAAAGAAGAACATGTACGTCTACCAACATCGACCATGACGGATGGAAAAGAGTGAACCTCATATACGTCATCGTTTGACACGATCTACCTTTGTTGTACGCTTTGACCAACCGAGCTTCCATTTTGGGACAAATAACACCTGCCCACGCATTTGCCTTACGTTTCTGTTTTGCCATCTAGCGCATTGTAGACGTCCCCGAACGTCCCGGGAGGAAATCCCGTTTTGTTCATTGGGGCTCACTACAGTTCGGACTCAAATTGTCACGGTTCTTAATCTGATCTCACAATGTGCAATGTGAGATTGATAAATCACCAAAGAGTCCAAATTCGGCAAATCATTTTTTGGAAAACAAATTTTTAGAAAGAAGTGCCAAACATGGACTGCTTTGCCAGATACAGAGTCGCCACCTAAATATTTATTTTGGGGAATTTAGGAAACCCTAACTCATTTTCCTAAGGCCACGTGTCCGTCATCACCAAAGTTGCCTCGGCTCGGGAACTTGGGTTCGATTGGGGAAGGTCACTTCGTGAGCACCCCCGCTCGCCCAATCAAAGATCGGCCTCTACTAACCATGATATCGAGTTTTGAAAACATTATGTGCTCTTATTTCGGTTATTAGCCTAGATTTACTATGTGATGCGCACAGCATACAAGTATAGACTGGATCGCCTGAATTGGAACAAAACATTTCATGTTTGTTTTTTAAAGCGGTTTGCTTCTCGCAAGTAGGTTAAAAATGCAGATTTTGCCACCTTCGGGTGGACTTAGAAAAGATGATTTTGCCATTAGCTAGTGGGCTTAAAACTCACAGTCAATGCATTATTCCAATTTAGATAATCCAACCTTCACCCACAGGTATTCAGGCAGATATATCACATAAGCAAATAGTCTCATGGTAAGCATGCTGTCATGGCAGTCACTCACACATATGCAAGGATACTAAAGCATAAATACTTACTGAGTACTCCAAGCCAAAACAGAAGCTATGTTAGAAATCCATGTATGATCCTAACTATACAGAAATGCCTAATGCAACACATGCAAAAATGCAACTACAATAGGCTCGGCTATTCTAAGATGGCATGTGATGATGCTACAGCTAACATGTATTCAACTTGGAATTGAAATACAATACAGTTAGTATAATGTGCCGAGCCCGGTGCATGCAAGATAGATGAATGAATGCAAACATGCGAGCATAAGTATGCTAATTGAAACATGCCCTAATCTAACATCATAAGCTGATAAATAAAAGGGAAAAAGACGTGGGGTTGGAAGACATACATCACACACACGCACACTTATTACAACATTGCCCCCCTCGAGGGGTCCGAATAAATAACAGCTATAGCTAATTATTACACAACATTAACTAATTAACAAACTAGCTAAGTAAGCATGTAAACTACATGAATGTGACTGCCTCGGCTCTGTTTTGGGTGACGATGGATGCATGCATACTTGAGTCGCCTCGTCGGGAACTTCCGTCGCAATGCCTCGTCTCGCCTTTGTTTGCAACTGATTTTAGAAATTTGCACAAGGCTCCAAGAGGCTGAAACTCCACCCTGGGAAGGCTACCGACCAGATATTGGCTTGGGAGACACTTGCCGACCACCCTTTGTGGTGGAAACCAAAAAAGGTGGTCGGCCTGCCAGAAAACCTGGTCGGCCGACCACTTTCTGCCCCTGGATTCTGGTTTTTCTGCAACAAAGGCAAGAGAGAGAAAAGACAATATATTTTCAACATATGCGTGCAAGATCACTCTCCCTGTCCTTGCACAAGCTCAAGGGGATGTAATTCTCGATCCTCGTGCCACCAATCACGCATCTCGATGCATGATGGCCAAGGAGTCGAATTGCACGACTCCATATGAAATGAATGCACATATAAGCAAGTAAAGCCAATAATTCTGTCATGGTTAGTCAACAGTGTTGGCGACCGAGAAGCGAGGCACATTTCGTCACTTGGAGTACGAAACGTCCCTCGTTTCCCATGTTTGGACTAAACCCTAATCCAAACACAATGCAACGAATAAGGATGGCATGACATGCACAAATGCAACTAGCATGCAATCCTAATACAATGCGACCTAATCATGCAAACATGCTACTAGCATACACAATGCTATGAACCATATGGCATACACAATGCGACTAACAACCTAGCATACGCAATGCAAGGAAATGAGATGGCATACACAATGCCTAAAACAACATAACATGCACAACACATTGCAATATGGCATAAACAATGCGCGATGGACTTATACCAAAATGGAGAGGCCTCAGCCGCGCCCAAATCAATGGCCATGTGATGAAAATGAAACAACCGAGATACATGTAAATATGTCACCCAATGCATGCTAGATGGCCCGGGTACCGAAACTAGTGAAGTGCGTTACACTAGAGGTACCTAAAGCAATGCACTAATGGCAAAACTAACTCCAAACTGACCCTAGGTAGGTCTGAAATAGTAAGGAAATGGCCTAAAATGATGGTTCGGAATGCAAAGAAATTGAGCTTATTCAATGGTCGGTAAATGAGGCATACAAGCCCGACTCTCGAACACATTTAAAGAGTACAAAACATGGCAATATGACATTCAAACAAGCTCTAAAATATGATGTATAATGGGCCCAAAACATGAACACACCTCAGTATATGCATGGAATGGACCTCGAAACTCAAAGTTAAGCATGTGTATTGAACTACAAGCATGCAAAACAAACATCATTCAATCATGAGACCCAAAAACAGAGCTAGGGCAGTCCAAAATACGCACAATATCAGTTTAAGGCATGGCCAAAAAGTGCTAACATGAAGGGTCAACAAAGCATGCGAAGTAAGCTAGTGAACCATGATTTACACTACACATATATGAAGCACATGAGGGCTCACCAAACCAACCAAAAAAAGAAGTATGCCATGCCAAAATATGCCCAAATAACCACTGAAACTCAGTTAACACATGCAAGAATGAAGTGCTCCTTTGAAAGGCCATGCAAGAGGTTATTCTACACATGTATGATGGACACACAAAATGGAAAAACCACCTCTGGACAGAGGTTATGAGGGTCCTAAAACCCACCAAAAAGTCCTGAAATTAGCCTAGGGAGCATGCAAGTGAAAGCCCCTTTGAAAGGCCTTGAATAGGATTGTTCTACACATGCATAATAGACATTCAAAATGGCCAAAAGGGCTCTGGATAGAGCTTATGCAGACCTTAAAACTTACCAAATAGGGCTTGAAACATGACTTCAAAACATGCAAATAAGGGGCCTTTGGAAGGCCAACAAAGCTAGTAAAGAGAACAAGGGGTGAGAGGGTCACCCCTCTATGATTTTGAAGTTCAAAGACACATGTTAGCCACTGAAAATCCACTGGATTTCAATGGCTAAAAGGCCAAACCAAGGCCAATGCAAATACTCAAATGCATAGCTCAAAACATGAGAAAATAAAGCATGGAACGGGGTAGATGACCCCCAACAGAAAAATGACCTTAAGAAAACATGTTTATAAGCTCAAAAGAAAACTTTTTTCAGTTTATGTCAAAACCCAAAAATGCTTGCAAATAGGGCTAAGATATGAAGCAAAATAATGCAAAAAAAGGGGAAAATAGAGGCTTACCCTTATAGAGCCGACCCTCAGCAACTTCTGGACCAAGGTAATGAGGCTTCAACCTCTGCAAATCAATTCCAAGGTTCTTGGATGGATGGTGGAGGTGTTGTGCTAGGAGGTGTAGGGCAATGGGGCCAAGAACTTCAACCTTTGAAGCTAAATAGGAGAGATACAAAGAGATGTGTATGCATGAGCCTTAAACAATTTCTGAACCCTAGCAATGGAAGAGGGCCCTTCCCTTTATAGAGGAGAAGGTCTAAAGCTTCTCAAAGAAGCTTAAAAGCTAACTTAAACATCCTCCATACACGTCCATACACGTGTATGGAGGATGCATTCTGAGGCTTCCAGCTGGCACAGCTTGCTTCAACTCAATGAGACAAAAAAGCAGAAAACTGGCCGACCAGGAACCACTCCCCCTGGTCGGCCGACCAGAGGTTAAAAGGGTCAAGAAGAAAAGGTGGTCGGCTTACCCATATTGGTGGCCTCCCAGGTGAATGCAACTCAGTGGTATAGTGAGAGACCAGAAATTGTGGCCTAAAAGTGAGGGAGACTAAAGGGTCAAAAGGGTCAAGCACCAAAGGTGGTCGGCCTACCCATATTGGTGGCCTCCCAGATGAATGCAACACAATGGTGGTATGGGAAACCAAAAATTATGGCCTAAAAGTGAGGGAGACCAGTTTCCCGACAAGAAAACTGGCTTGAGGAGAGAGAAAAGTGGTCTCCAAGAAGAAAGCTGGTTTCCAAGGAGAAAATGTGGTCTCCCACCCTTGTACCACCTTCTTAACAATGAAAATAGGGTCCATGCCAAAAATGAACCCTAACCAATGCAAAACGAGGATTCGGGGGTCAAAACGCACAGCCGGAGGGCCCCGAAAACTGACTGTTAAGCGCCGGAAGTGACGTGCGACCCCAAAGGTGGTCTCCCAGGCCACAGTGTCCCTCTAAGGAGAGGAAATAAGGTATGTGCCGAAAACCGGAGTAAACGGAGGAAGTTAAGCGGTCCCGAACAGAGGCGCGCGGCCGACGGCTCCGAAAATCAGAAATTGGTCTCCAAACGGGAAAAATGGCCTACGACCACGAAACGTAGCCTACGGCCACTGAGAGATGGTCTACGAAACCTCTCCCTCCCTTCGGGAAGAGAAAACAGAGAAAACAGAACCTGATTCGCAAACCGAGGCAAAGCACAAAAGAACCCCGAAGTCCGGAGGCAAGGCTCTCAGTCGAGACTCCGAAACCTTAGAACGAGCATAATATGCATCATCACTGAGCGCTCGATCGGTGACGTCTGAGTCTTAAGGTCGGTCAAAAATGGAGTGTCTACACGCATAATCTTTCCCCGGATACTATCAATCATTTGAGTTATTAGTAGGTGGCGTGCTTCCCGTATTCACGAGTTAAATGATTCAATGGCGTTAGAACTCATCTTACCGTACTGTGAACCTCTAGTTTTAAAGAAGGATGACATGTGTTAGGGAACAAAAAAGCCAATGCGCAGGCATGAAACAGAAATGATGTATTGTAGGAATAAAGTGGGTGTGGGGAAAAAAAAAGAAGTAATTATGTATTGGAAGTAAGCATTCGCCCAGTAATGAAGGGGTAAATCTTTTAAGAAAGCAGGCATAACCTTACGTCCACATTTTGTGAACTTTTCCATACTCTGGTTGAATGCAGCCACAGTCAGAGGGTACGCGCAAGCATGAAATTTAGCCAACATCACAGATCAATATGAACTATTCACATAACATAACTTGTCTTGCAAGTTACGCTGCAAATGTTGTAAGCAAAACGCATGCTTTGTTGTGGCGAATATGATGGGTATCGATTCTAGTAAGCCCGCATGTCGATCTAAGACAAATGTAAGTGTCCTTTGCCCATTTACCACGTTTGTGAGGTGTCCCAAAAACCAAGCCCAATTTGTAGTGTTTTCGGAATCAACAATCACAATGGCCACAGGGAATAGGCCTGCAATTTGTATTTGTTAGTCAAGCAACCAATCGGTGAAACAATATTTATGAGCAAGTGTTATGATGGTCACGCCGATATGGAAAAGAAAGTATCCTTCTTAGCAACAATGTAAGTACATTTGCACCACATAAATATAATATATAAATAATTACCACATAGTAATACCTTGGTTGCCATCCTTCGCAGTTGCGGCTAGCAAGTTCCTCTTGAATTTCCCTTTTAGAAAAGTCCCGTCCAAGAAAAGCAATGGGGGGCAATGGTTGAACCCATCAATGCATGCTTTGAATGATATGAAATACCGTATGAAACAGTAGTTTTGTTCATCATATTCACTGCTGATGTAACTCCTAGGATTATTTTCCATGACTACGCTACTGTACCAGCGTAGTTGGTCAAATGAAATGGAGTGTGCACCAAACATCTCACCGCGAGCTTTTTCAACACCTAACCATGCAACTCGGTAACTAACCTCCAATCCGTAATCTTTTTTCATGTCATACACAACATCAGTAGGCCTTGTGAGCGGTTTATCACGTACCCGTTCACAAATAGCATCGGACACTAGATCGGAACCAGCTCTAGGGTTTTTGGGGGTCCGTACAGCAACACCACAAATGTGCTCGCTATTCCACTTACAAAGGTAGAAAAAACCATTGGCATGCAAAACACGTGCATGTACCAACCACATGCATCCTCTCGAATCCCTCATCGTACATAAAGCTGTGATTCGAACATAATCTTTCTTCACAAATTTGAAGTGAAACCACACTCAACCGCATACTTGCGAAGAACATTTCGAAATTCAGATGCTCCACCTTCAAAACTTTGACCAATATGTTGAATCCCATTAGCCCATGGAACAGACAGAAAAACCTTATCAATGTGAGGACAGAATTTTTCCAATAAATCTTGTTCGTCATCCATGTCCAAATCAGCAAACACCCCCGCCGTGTGACACGGGACAGTCTGCACACTATGAAATGGGCTGCCAACATTGTCAGCGTTGCGTGACTCTTGTAACTGAATGATGACATCGATGCATTGCAGACGGGAAGACCGTGCAAGAGATACCATGTTTTCCACATCGACATCATTATGTAATGTGAAATTATTATAACCTGGTATCTTGAAGAACAAACACACTTGGGCCGATGTTAACCCAGGAAACTTTTCGCACGCACAATTAACCATGTCATCAAACCGAAATGGAGCTTGTAAATTAATTGCGACATTAACATTTTCGTAACAACAAATTAACATAATATGTGTGTCCATCCCCCTAACAAGATTAACACGTGCTTTATCAGGACCAGAAAAACACGAAACAAAATTGACAAACACTAGAAAACCCATACAAAACACACCCATAGCATAGAATATATGAATAACAACACATACCTTTGTAACACAGAAAACAACCCCAAAAAATGCACCACATAACCCCCCACCCCTCCTCTTCTCTTTCAATCAAAAACACCAAAACTTTTCGCACGCACAATTAACCATGTCATCAAACCGAAATGGAGCTTGTAAATTAATTGCGACATTAACATTTTCGTAACAACAAATTAACATAATATGTGTGTCCATCCCCCTAACAAGATTAACACGTGCTTTATCAGGACCAGAAAAATCCGAAACAAAATTGACAAACACTAGAAAACCCATACAAAACACACCCACAGCAGAGAATATATGAATAACAACACATACCTTTGTAACACAGAAAACAACCCCAAAAAATGCACCACATAACCCCCCACCCCACCTGTTGAACAGAACCCCCTTACACCAACACGTAATGCAACACACACCCATAACAGAAGCAATACAAAAAACAAAGCATACCATCGTAATACAAAAAATAATCCCAAAAAATGCACCACATAACCCCCCACCCTCACCCGTTATGGTGCAGCCCCTTCTACCAATACATACAAAACTGTAAATGCTATCCAAATAAGAAGACATACCTTTGAACCAATGGGGTACCGACTTTGTTTAAACTTTCTGAATCAGTCTGTCACACAGCCATTGTAAAATCACCGACCTACACCACTGAAAACCCTAAGTCAAAAAGGTTGAAACGTTTATACACGTAACATTGAAATATCAACTGTGATACCCACAAAATCGAAAGAATCACGTGATCCCGCAATAGAATATGGAAACATAACAATAAAGGGTAAAACTGTCCACACAGTGACACCACATATGGAAAATAGGATCAGAAAGAAACAAACCTCCCCACTAATAGGCCTTACTCGAACAAAAGAATAAAGTTGGGACTAATTGGTTTAACAGTTTGTGAAACGGGATTTATTGGTAAATTTTCCATTATAAGTACACTCCCTGAGATTTGTTTAGAATACGAATTGCCCCATGTGGTTTGGAAAATTACAAATACCTTCCTATCAGAATTTTTTATTTAACAGAATTAATTGAAAAAGTAAAATTTTAATTGTTCACCTATACAATAATATAATAATCTGAATTATTAATTAAATTTTTTAACATTATTTAAAACTGTTAATTAACTTAATAATTTATTAATAAAATGATCTATTTGTTCTGAAATTAGAAACCTTAGGGGCATAATGTAATTTTTAAAACTGTAGGGGTAATTTGTAATTTAAGTAAATCTCAGGGATGTGCTTTTAATTTTATCCTTTTTTTTTTAATTATTTTTTTGATCTAGATTATTCAGATAATAATGTTTCGTTTATAATTTTTTGTGTTACATTTTGTTTATTATTTGGTATAATACATTTAAAACTATTTCGTATTGATAAAATTTTATGTGAGTTCTATTGTATCAACAGTTTCATTAGTTTATCATTTTGTATTATTGTCTACATGAACATAAATGATTACTTACCTTGTTTAAAAAAATTATTAAGAAATTAATAAAAGCAAATGATATTTTACCACATACCTGGTGATATAAAAAGGTAAAAAAAATTCATGATACATAACAATTGTAAGCATTATTTAACTTTAATATACTTATTAATGTGATGTGAATCATAACAAAAATGAATTCAACCCACCTATCTATTTCTTCGATTTACAACCTTAAATCTAAATACAAGCTGTACACAAAACATTGAACTTAAATTCCCTTCTTCACTATGTGCATACAAAATATACAACTATCTATCAAGTTGAATCATATGATTGATAAGTTTAACCTGTTATGGCAGATATGTAACTGTAAGTGCAAGTCAGGAGAGAGAGAAGCTGTCCCACCTAATGAACACCATAAAGGTGCAACTTGAAAACAATAGCACACAATACTGTGGTTGGCTCATCATACATGCATACACGATATGCACAGCAGAAAGATGTTAGCCTTCCACCTTACTTCTAACCCACCCCATTACATACTTTTATGGGTTAATTACACTATTCACCTCAATAGTTTGATCCAAATTTTATTTTAATCTATATAATTTCAAATTAAATAACTTGGTCCATACATTTTAAATCCAATTTTAATTTGGTCATTCTGTTATAATTTTCATTAATTTCTTCTACTTGCTATCTTAAAAATTATTGAGTTTGATTTCAATTTTTTGAATTTAGTTTTCTAAAAATTGAATTTTTTTCGTGTTTTTTTGTTTTTAGTGAATATTTTTAAAATTTAAGCAATTTTTTTTTTCCTTTTTTAGATACACTTTACTTAAATGTATCTAAATAGTAAAATATTTGTAAAAAAATATTTTTAAAAAATAATAAATATACAAAAATATGAAAAATGTACTAAATTTTCATGTATATATTTTTTATATTTTTGGTATTTGGTGAATTTTTTATAAAAAAAAATCACAAATATTATATTTTTTAAGTGTATTAATGTTAGGTGTGTCTAAAAATTAAAAAAAAAATGCTTAAAATATTAAAAAAAAAATCAGTTAAAACAAAAAATATGAAAAACGAAAAAGTAAAATTTTTTGAAAAAGTGAATTTTGAAAATTGAAACCAAATAGAGTGATTAATTTTGACTTCAAATTTGAATAAAAGAACTAAATTAAAAGTGAACTTAAAGTAGATGAATCAAATTGTTCAATTTAAAATTATAAAAATTAATGTAAAATTTAAATCAAACTATAACCCTACTTTTAATTAAAGAGCATACAACCCAAAAACCCAACCATACATATGCATGACTTTAGCTTCACTCCTACTCAAAAACCAAATAAAATTCCTCCAAAACCTTTCTCAAACTCCTCATGCATCATTCTGTTGCTCCACCATCCACACTTCTCAACTATTTTCTTTCTTTCTCTTCTTTCCAATGAGCACAATGAAAGCTCCGCGTGGGCGGCGACCTCTCTCCATTGTCGCCGTCGTAATCTGCATTTCTGCCTTCATTGCTTTCTTGTACACTGAAAGGATAAGCTCTCTTTCTTCTAGCACCTCCTTTTTCAGTTTCAAATCCTGCTCTAAACGAGGTGCTATTGCAAAATCTATCAAGTCTACAACAGGTATGTGTATATTTATGTTCGCAGTGGGTGCAAACGCATCCCATTTGTAATTTTACCTCTAAATGAATAAAATGATTGGTTGAATTTGAAAATTGTTAGCAATTATTGAAGTAGTTTACAATGTGGATAATTTTGGGAAAAAAAAGTGACAAAACTTCAATTTTTTTTTGGATTGCATGGAGCGGTTTGCTGAACTTCAAAATGTAATTTTATCTTATTAAGCGTTTAAAAATTTGACATTTTGACAATAAAATTTTGTAAATATTTTTTGGTGGACCTTAGATGGCAGGTCACATGGCCTTATAGTTTAGTGACATGTATGACATGTATCCCCTCATGTGATACATGTGTTGAGTTTAAAAGATGATATGTTGTGGGAGAGGAAGTGAGAAATTGGAGGTAGTTTTGCAACTAGACTTCATTGGAAGTATTTTTACATATTTGCTAAACGAGTAATGTTATGAGTATAAAATAATTTATCAAAAATTTTATTAAATACTCACATGAGTCTCACATGTGTAAGGAGTCTACACTTAAGTGAATGTTTGGTAATTTTTTTGGTAAAATATTTGGATTTCTAATATTTTTGTTTGCTAAACAATTACACATGAGAGTACCAGAAACAAATGTAAAAATTGACTTTTATCCGTATAGTTTTGACATTAGATGTTTACACAACTTCATTATCCTGTTCACACAACACCGAGCGAGTTGGTTGGTTTTATATAATAGTATGTATATATATATTAGAGGTAGGCACATACAACAGATGTTTGAAACAATTAGATTTAAAAGAATTGAAGCAATTTAGAGAAATTATCATGTTTGGGGGACATTTTAGAAATTAAAAAAAAAAAATGACAGTCACACCAAGAGAAGTATCGATTTTATATAATATAAAATTAGAAGTGGCGGGACACGCCATGTATGCTCATATGATCATTTTGTTTGGTTTGGTTTTCAAAAATTTCTTTCAAATTTTTTTTCCTAAAATATTAAAAATTAATTTGGTGAAATAAATAAATTTAAAAAAATCAAAATCACTTATTGTTTTTATATAATTTTGTCTTTTGAGAGGTTAGAAATAATTTTAAAAATTTAAAACTATTTTTTTGATAAATTTTTTTAAAAAATCAAAACTATTTGTTTGGTTTGTGTTTTTGTAGCTACTACTGATGAATAAGATTAATGATAATGAGTGTGAGATGTTTGTGTTGTGTTGTGATGGAAATGTTGAAACAACAGATGAGAGAAGTACAGAGGAGGAAGAGATAGTGAAGTCTGAAGTAGATGACAGGTTTGAGTTCGACCCAAATGAGTGCAGCCTAGCTCATGGAAAGTGGGTCTTCAACAATTCACTTAAACCATTGTACACAGACAGGAGTTGCCCACACGTTGATAGGCAATTCTCTTGTGTTAAGAATGGACGCCCTGATAATGATTCTGATTACCTTCACTGGGAATGGCAGCCTGATGACTGCATCTTGCCTAGGTATGCAAAATTCATATTCAGAAAAAACTAATACATCGGATCTTATCAGAACTTTTCAATTAAGCGTGTTTCAACAAGAGACTAATATTAGGATGGATGATTTGTAAAGTCCTCGTCCTATTGCACTTTCTCCTTTTGTTTTTTTCTAAAAAAATAAAATAAAAAATCATGTTCTTATTACTACCTCCATCTCGGTCTCAAATTATTTATTTGTTTGACACAAAAAATAAAAATTTTAAAATAATATGTTTTGTTCAAATTTTTTTTTTCATAAATTAAAAGTACTTAATGAGATCTTTTAATTGGTAAAAAAAAGTTTAAAATTTCTATACGAGAATGTATCATTTTTTTCCCCCTGTATCAAACAAATAATTTGGACTAATAGAATAATTTTATAAAATTTAAAATCAAAATAATGCGACATTAGTATTTTGTAGACCAATACTATGCATCTATCCTAAAACTTTAAGCAAAACATAAACATGTCTGAAACATATATAATTTTCTTCCAACAGGAAAAAAAAGAAAAAAAGATTTTTAATGTAATAACAAATGAGTACTAGATAATACAATGAAAGTACATTAATAAATAGAAAATGTTAGAAACTCTAAAATTTTATTAAATTTTCTATTAAATATTTTACATGGATATGAGACCCATATCATATAGGTCTCATATCTATGTAAAATATTTGGTAAAAAATTTAATAAAAATTTTAAAGCGTCTAACGTTACTCTAATAAATAAACTATAGTGTAACCCAAGTGGATTGACACATACACCAAAGCATGTGCAAGGGCCAAAGCATACCCAACGATATCAATTTTGAATTTACATTGTATATTTTATTTTTGAGGTACATAGTTTATTCATGATATTTTTTAAAATAATGCAAAGAGCACAGAAATAAACTTGAACACAAAAAACACATAGATGTACAAGATTTACCAAATTTATTATTGGAGTCTGCTTTTCAAAAATATTATCTAATCCATTTATTTTCTATTTGCATTTATAGACTTTGATACAAATTATGATAAATTACTAATAGGTCATAATAATCGTCGCTAAAAATTATTTTTTATGATAACTTTTTACATGTCGTTAAAATTTAACAATTAGTGACGTTTTTCTGTGGCGAATTTTTGAAACTGTCGCTGAAAGTTAAAAGTTAGCGACTTTTTTGTGAGAATTCTTTTTCAACTGTCGCTAAAACTTATAATTAGTAACATTTTTTGTGATAAAATTTTCAATCTGTTGCTAAAAATTAATAATTAGTGATATTTTTTAATAATATTTGATAAAAAAAGTCATTAATTCTCACAAAATCTATTAGACAATAAACCCACCTATTAGTACCTAAACGTAAGTCTCCTAAAAATTAAACGGCTTCTGACTGCCCTTTTATTGATAAACTCTAACATTTGTCATGTGATGTAGGTTTAATCCTAAAATTGCACTTGAAAAGCTTCGGGGAAAGAGGCTGATGTTTGTAGGAGATTCATTACAAAGAAATCAGTGGGAATCGTTCGTTTGCCTTGTTGAATCCATTATACCTGAAAAACACAAGTCCATGCGACGAGACCACTCTCATGCAGTCTTCCAAGCCAAGGTAACAATTACTTCACATCTCAAGGACTGTTAAAAAAATGATATTTGACAACAATGACTTCTAACAAACACCCATAAAAAAGGCTAAAACTTAACACTTCATTTGAATTTTGGGGTCGTTTTGGAAATTAATTTTTTAATGTAACAGTCCATTCACTTGTGTCAAAGTCATTGAGGGGTTAATATTCTACTTAAAATGGTCTATTTCTTTTAAATAGATTGTTTTTCCCTTAATATATGTCCTCTTTTTTAACAAAAGCTATCGATAATACTGAATTGATGCAATGAAACAAATTAAAAAGTAAAATTGTTACAATTGAAATTATATAGATTCAATTGACGTAAGAGACAAATTATTGCGACCATGCATATGATCCACCCTTTTATACATGATTAATTTGATAATTCAAAGTTCTTGTAAGTGATGCTTGTATGAAATATAATGAAATGTAGAGAACAAAAATAAGGTGGGAAAGCCCACAAAAATGTGAGGCTCACACTCTTGTTTTTGTTTAATTGCACAATTTTGCCCCTAAAAAGAGAAAATCATCCGAAAATCATAAGTGCTTTTCATTTTTTTTTATCAAACTAATTTTCATCTTTTTTGAAGAAAAGAAAAACAATTTATCTAGGTGTTAAATCTCAAATTTATCAATTTTTATTTTTCTCATGGGATCTCATATGAAATTCTTGCATGTATGATTAATCAGGAATACAATGCAACAATAGAGTTCTACTGGGCTCCATTTCTAGTGGAGTCAAATTCAGATAACCCAATAATAGCAGATCCAAAGAGTAGGATATTGAGAGTGGATTCAGTTTCCAAGCATGCCAAATTCTGGGTAGATGTGGATATCTTGGCCTTCAATACTTATGTTTGGTGGATGAGTGGTCTCAAGGTCAACTCTCTGTAAGTTTTCTCTCATCATAAAGTTTTTTACGGTTTATATTTAGCTTATGTATTGCGAGGCTTACATTTAAAATAAACCTTGATTGCAACGAAAAATGTCTGATTGAACACACAGATGGGGATCATTTGGAAATGGGGAAGAAGGGGCAGAAGAGTTGGATACACCAATTGCTTATAAAATTGGATTGAAGACATGGGCTAACTGGATTGATTCAAACATTGATCCTAACAAAACTCGCGTGTTCTTCACTACTATGTCCCCTACTCACACAAGGTCTCTCTCTCTCTATCTCTCTCCTAACAAAATTTTATACAAAATTTATTATCATAATAATCTGGTAATGTTATTTCTGTAACAGTAAAGATACATAGCTCTAATTTGAGAGCTTTAAATGGAACTCTAGTATCCGTTCAAAAAAATATACAATTATGCTTGGTTAGAGTTTTCCAAAAACTCTTTTCAGAAAATTCTACTTTCTTGTTTTTTGTATTTTTTTATTTTTACTGAATTTTTTTAATATTTTAAGCAATTTTTTTTACTTTTTAGACATACCTAACATAAATATACTTAAAAAATAAAAAATTTGTGAAAGAAACCTTTTAAAAATTCATTAAATACCAAAAATATAAAAAAAAAAATACGAGAATTTTGTACATATTTTGTATTTTTATGTATTTATTAATTTTTTAAAATATTTTTTCACAATTTTTTTACTTTTTAGATACATCTAAGTAAGGTGTATCTAAAAAAGTAAAAAAAATGTTTAAAATTTTAAAAATATTCACTAAAAATAAAAAAATATGAAAACCAAAAAACTCCAGTTTTCAAAAAAACTTAATCCAAAAAACTCAAATCAAACACACTGATAAAACTCTAATGAGGTGAGAAAGAGAGTAGAGATAGATAAAGAGAGGAGTGTGGGCTCCACCTTCACATTCGTACTCTCCACATCATTAAAATTATCAAACATTATTATTTTTGTAAATAAACAATTTAAATAGATAAATTTTCTCGAAGTAAAATTTTGGTCCAATAAAATGCCCATTATAACTTTCCATCAAATAATTAGTGAGTTATGATACTTGTTTGAAAAAGTCAAGTGTATTAAAAGGAAAGTAAACTTTACAAAAATTGGCTTATAAATTTTTTATTGACAAATCATTTTTGGGACTATGATAATAAAAAACAATTTCTTTAAATAATATTATACTTACTTTTTGTTCAATGACCAAACTATAAAATATCCATAAAATATTCTTTTTAAAAAATATTTAAACCCAAAGGTTGGTGGCACAAGATGGCAATATTGTCACCCAAATTAAAAAATAGTAAGTTAAAAAAGATTGATCCAGCCACGTGAGACACGCAAGAAAAGGCAACTAAGGACAAGTCTCTTGTCTCTTAGATCAAAAATTAATATTTATAATTTATCTTCTGGATCAAAAATTAAAATTAAACTTCACAAAAATTGACTTACAAATTTTTTATTGGCAAATCATTTTTGGGACTATGATAATAAAAAATATTTTCTTTAAATAATATTATACTTACATTTTGTTTAATCATCAAACTATAAAAATATATAAAATATTTTTTAAAATATTTAAAACGAAAGGGTTTCCGAATTAAGAAAAGGGAAATTGACCCATAAATCTTAAAAAGTGGGATTGTAATCTAATCAGTCTCATATTTAATTTTGTACACCCAAAGATCCCATTATTTGGGGGTGGACAGTTTTGCCCATGAACTCACTGTTTTGGATTTGGTGATATTATGTTTGAATGATGTGGGTGTATGTAACGTTTGGGAAAAGCACATTTATGATGTGGGTGTATGTAGCATTTATGATGTGGGTGTATGTAATGTTTGGAAAAAGCTTACTATAACTTTTTTATGATGTGGGTATATGTAACGTTTGGAAAAACATTTATGATGTGAGTGTATGTAACGTTTGAGAAAAGCTTACTATAGCTTTTTTATGATATGGGTGTATGTAACGTTTGGGAAAAACACATTTATGATGTGAATGTATGTAACGTTTGAGAAAAGCTTACTATAACTTTTTTATGTTGTGGGTGTATGTAACGTTTGAGAAAACATTTATGATGTGGGTGTATGTAACATTTATGATGTGGGTGTATGTAACGTTTGGGAAAAACTTACTATAACTTTTTTTATGATGTGGGTGTATGTAACGTTTGGGAAAACATTTATGATGTGAGTGTATATAACATTTGGGAAAAGCTTACTATAATTTTTTTTATGATGTGGATGTATGTAACGTTTGAAAAAGCTTATTATAGCTTTTTTGGACTTTAGTAGTTTATGTAGGGGTGTCCACGTTATTTATGACCCACACGTTTCAATCACAAAAAAAAGGGTACATTAGTCAGAAAAATCATTCCATAATTACATAATGGGATCCTTCAAATCACATTACCAAAAAAAAAAAGACTTAGACGTCTATTAATTTTAAAATGGGACTGAGTAGACTATAACTCTCCAAAATGAGAGTTTCCAATAATTTCTCCTAAAATTAAACAATGTATATCCAAATATAAAATAAAATTAATAAATATAATCGAATAGAGAGACGAGTAGAACGAGATAGAAGAAGATTTTATTTTCACCTTGCTTTTTTATCGAGATGAAGGATGCATTGCTGTGAGAGAGGAAGTTTCTATCCCTACCTAAGCATGACATATCAAATAATGGTGTGACTTCCACTTGATATCCATATTATAATCAGGTTATGTTTGGTATAAATGGTTTGAGTTAAAATAGTTATAAAAGATAAAATAGATTAAAAAAATTAATAAGATAAAATATCATATCTGAATTATAATAATTTTATTTTTTTTCTCATAAAAATTTAAAAAATAAAAAAATTCATTTCAAGAGAGACATTTTATCTCTAAATTAAAATAATTAAAAAAATAAAAAAATCAACTCCCATTCTATCATGGATAGCTTGTGAGGGAAGTGGCAAAATTATTTTGAATTTAACTACTCAAAAAATTAAAAAGTCAACAAGGTAAAATTGTTATTATGATTTTACTATAATATTTTATTATATATTTTTTCGTAAAAAATTAAAAATTTATCCTAAATATACATATTTTTTTCTTTACTTTTTTAACAAAAAAGTCAAAAAGTGCACTCATATAACACATCCTAAACAACTATTTAAGTTTGTTTTGAAAAGTATATTAAAAATTGACTTTGTGATTTTTTTTTTTTAATTGTGTAAAAAAAATAGAAAGGTAATTTAACCCAAAATAAGTTAATAGTTAAAAAATAACTTTTAATCAAATTCTTAAATTTCATTAAGTGCCTCGGTGATGAATCCCTTCTTTTAGATTGATTAAATCTGGCCGTCAATTAATTATCCTAAGATTAGGGCCTCTAAATGTTGTGATGTCTCTCCAAAATTTTCATGTTAAAAAAAAGGACAAGTCTCTTATCTTTTATTTAGATCAAAAATTAATATTTGTAATTTATCTTGTAGTTAAAAATAAATAAAATTTAAAAATAAAATTGAAATATTTAGATCAGATTACAATAGAGTAAATTACTTTTGTCCCTTTTATATTTGGCTTTTTGGGAAGTAGATTAAAAGTTAATTTTTTGACTTTTTGACTCTTTTTTTTTAACAAATGTATAAAAAATAGAGAAATAATGTGACCCAAAAAAGATTGAAAGCTAAAAAACTGCTTTAACCTCTTTCCCCAAAGAGGTATTTGGCTCTTAAAATTTTTTTTTTCCACTTGTCCCTCCATGTTTTAATTTTTTTATATTTTACTTTTAAAATTAATTTTTATTCAAAATTAGACAAAAAATGTCATGATAACTGTCACATAATATAAAAAAATATTTTATTATATTAGAGTTTAACTTTGTGTCAAAATGATATATATAATAAATATTTTTATGTTACGTAACTATCATGTGTTAGTTTTTTATAAAATTTTTACTAGAAGACAATTTTAAGAAAAAATTAAAACATGAAAATTAAAGTAAGAAAAAATAAATTTTAAGAGTCAAAGTAAGAAAATGGCTAAACAGAAAAGGTAAATTGTAATTTACGGGATTACAATAGGAGTTATTACCGAATAATGGTGTCAGGAAAAGAAAATGCAAAATCACAACAAAAAAAAAAATTATAAATTTAATTATTAATATTTATAAAAAAAAAATTCATTAATTTGTAATTATTTTTTTTGAGATACACTAATCTGATTTTTTCCTACTACAATATAATGACTGCACAAGTCTCTTATCTTCAGGAGTGAAGACTGGAACAAGAAAGATGGAATTAAATGCTTCAATGAAACAAGGCCAGTCATGAAGAGAGGCCACTGGGGGACTGGCTCTAACAAACACATAATGAGCATTGTGTCCAACGTGGTTAGGAAAATGAAATTCCCTGTGACATTCATCAACATAACTCAGTTATCTGAGTACAGAATCGACGGTCACGCTTCGATCTACAATGAGTTGGGAGGCCAATTGTTGACTGATGAGCAAAAAACTGACCCTTTACGCTATGCGGACTGCATTCATTGGTGCTTGCCCGGTGTTCCTGATACGTGGAATCAAATCTTTTTAGCTTACTTGTAGCCCACAAAATGGAAAGAAAATCATTTATCTAAAAAAAAAAAAAAAAAATTGAATGTTTGAGATTCATTTCAAGTATAGATCTCACTATATTTGATAAAATTAATTCTATTTTCCAAATTCTGTGTTTCTTTGGGAACAAGATGCCAATTATGTCCCCAGCTTTCTTTGTGCCAATTTTTTTTATTTTTTATGTCTTCCATTTTTTTTTATTTTTTATTTAAAAGTTAGTACTACCTTCAATTGTACATCAAACCATTCAAAATGATCTCGGTTTCGTTTGTTACAGTCTATGATGGTGTTTGTGATTAATTTTAAAAGTTTGCTTTAGAATGTTTGATGTATTTTTACATTACACATTTCGATATAATGAAATAGGGTGATTTGAGACGGTATTTTATAAATGGGTAAATTATAAATATACTTCATGAAGTTTGTTTAAAATACAAATTGTTTCTTATGGTTTGAAAAATTACAAATATCCCTTTATTAAAAAAATTTATTAATAGAATTAACTAAAAAATGAAATTCATAATTGTTCTCCTATACAATAATAAAATTACCTAAATTATTAATTGAAATATATTTTTAACATCATTAAAAACTGTTAATTGACTTAATGATTTATTAATAAAATGGACGATTTGTTATGAAATTAGAAACCTCAAGAGTGGAATGTAATTTTTAAAATCACAGGGGACGATTCGTATTTTAATCAAATCTCAAGAGGTATATTTATAATTTACCCTTTATAAATAAATAATTACCTTGAATAAGTTAATTTCTTTTTATTCAATCACCAGAAAGACAAATAAAATAAATCCATAAAAGATCATTTTTCTTAAAAGAATTGAAACTTATATGAATTATTGTTTGGGGATCGACTTTTGTTAGTATTTTTTTAATTTTTTACGAAGTTATATGTAAAAAAAAGTAAGAAAAGTAAATTTACTTTTTGTATTGATTTTTTGACTAATCAAATAAGACAAGTTAGAGAAAAATTGAAGGGTTTAAGGCCTCATTTGGCGATCAAGAATTTTAGCTAAAAAAATAAATACTGAAAATTATCATATTACTTTATTTACCCTTTGCAAATTTTTTCTTAAAAATTTAAAAAATAAATAAAATAACCATCTGAACCAGCCTTAAGTAATGCCACGTTTGTCAACTTTATATTTTAGTCAAAAAATTAAAAAGTTATTATACGTTATCAAATTACTCTCTATACTTTTCTGTATATTTTTTCATAAAAAGCTAAAAAAATTATTAAAAAAGTATATTTCCAAACCAAGCCTAAATACTGCCAATGACATTAACATATAGAGCATTAGTCGATAAGGATATGGAGTTTCCTTTTTTTTCTTTTTATTTTATTTTATTTTATCGTCAACATTTTAAATAACTAGATTTGTTAATTTGTTAATAAAATTAGTGCATCATTTAAAGTCCGCCACTATTTTATCAAGTCATATATTATCTCGCTACACCACAAAATGCAGCTACACTTAAATGCCCCCGCAACTACCTTTGTTATTTATTAACTGCACATTAAAAGGGCAAATGTGCAGAATAAAAGTACAAGGCATATAGTGTGACAGATTGAACCCCCTCATAGGGAAGGAAAGCAAACATATTGAAGTGAAAGACACAAAAGCCATAAATATGACTAATGTTCGAAATTTATAATTTAGATTCTTAATATTATTCATAATAATCTGATAAAACAGATAAATCTTACACAATTAAATATATGATAAATAAAAAATTGATACGTATGAAGTCACATTATTATAAATCAAATTACAAGAAATATTTTTTTTGGGGGGTAGGTTTTAAACATTTTTTTCATAAATATATATACCATTCTTAGCTTTCCAAAGCAATCTATGTTAAAAATTGGATCAATCAGAATAAAGCCATCTCAACCGTACCGAACACTTTTATGCTGTGTTTGGTTGGGGAATTTGAGGAGGAATTTGGAAAGGAAAATGGAAAAGGTGTGTGAAATTAGGTGAAATGTAGGTATATTTTATTTACATTTCACCTAATTTTTCCCTTTCCCTTTCCAAATCCCTCCTCAAATCCTCTAACCAAACACAGCGTTAGGGAAAGCAAACACCAAACTGACATTTTACTTATCAAAATAAATTATAGTTTTGACAATTCACTAAAGACGGGTGTTTTACATCCTCTCTCAATAAAGCAAATCTTTTTGGTATAGTATCATATCCACTTTCAAATTATATGAACCCATAATTATTTTTAAACTTTTTACTTATATAGGGGTAATGATGAGGAAAAAAGAAAACCCATTGTCTGGTTAATTAGTTGTCCCCATTTTCATAAAAGCGCAAGGGTATTAAGTGTAATTTATCCTAAATTATGGACTAAGAAATAAGTATTAGCATTTGTCCCCAATGTTGGAACGCTCTCATGATGCACTGCTTATAAATCCTATGCACAACCCACCACATTCCTCTTCATCAGAGCAATCAAAATTCACCCTCAATCTCTCTCTCTCTCTCTCTCTCTCTCACACACACACAAACACACACACACACACTCTCTCTCTCTGTCTCTCTCTCTCTCCATGGATTCATCATCCAGTAATTTTGTAAACCTACAAAAGTACTAAAAGTTTGTAAAATCCGCTCGAGCAGAAGAGCAAAATTTTGAAAAACAAAAGTTTGGAAACTGAGCAATCAACCTGTCCCAATCACGAGCACGACAACCCAATAGCCAAATTTAAGGATGTATAAGGGAAGCAAGACATGAACAACAATACGAAACCATGAAACCCGAGTCCGGAATATAAAATGAATGGAGTCTAAACCAGAATCGTTATAGGACGCGATTCCTCGCCACTCATTCAATTCCTTAGATTAGTCGCTTTTGAGATTCGTATTTTGTAATAATTAGTTAATAATTAGATAATTAATTTATTCATTTGTGTTTGTAATAATTAGTTAACTAGCATAATTACTCGTGCTATGCACGGCTATAAATAAATAATCAAAAATTAATTTTTAAAATTAACTAATAATCTAAAAAATTTATCTATAATATTTAGCAAAAATGATTTAGAATCAACTAAATTTTATTTATTTTTATCACAGTTACATATAATATCAGAGAAGTTACGTAAAATTTTATTCATTTTATAGAGTTTTGCAGACCACTCGAGCGGAAACCCTATTTTCAGCAAATTTTGACTAACTCTTTTAAGTGCATACTTGCATCCTCATGTTATTTCTAGTACTCTTAAGCACCAATTGGACTCATATAATCATAAAATGAGTTAGAAACATATAAGAAGAGTTGAATTAAAGCAAAATGGATATCGAATGGTACTTCAATTGTGTTTTTGTTTTGTGTTTTGTTTAGGTGGATGTCAGAGGCCTGGTGACAACTTAACCTACTGTGAGTAGTAACTTTATAAAGATATGTTCAAATTATCTTTATTTTTGAAATTGCTTTTGTTCTCGAAATCGATATATGATTGATTGAATAGTTTATTGAAACGTTATTTTCTTATGAATAAATGAAGTTCCCTTTTAAAAATGTATTCGTGTTATTCTTTAGTGAGACCCTTGCTTGGAAGAAACAATACCATGGCCCATTAGTCTTTGCCTGGAGGAAATAATACCAAGGTCTATTGTTTAATAGGTCTTTGCTTGGGGGAAATTAATATCATGACTTAATTGTTCAACAGGCCCTTGCCTGGAAAAAATTAATACCATGGCCCATTGGCCCTCTTCTGGAGAAAAGAATACCGTGGCCCATCAAATCAATCAAAACACAGAAATTTTTTATGTTAGACCCATCGTGGTCCCATTGAATGACCTCCGTGGTCCCATTGTTATTAAAGCATTGTTACTCTACTAGATGTGCTACATGATTTGAATGAAATGGCTATTGATGTCAAGATTAACTAGAAATGTGAAATTGATATTTGTTTGTTATTGAATTTCATTCGTATAACCTCTTTAATCTGTTATTACTCATTGGGCAGTAGCTCACTATTTATGTATATATATATATGTGTGTGTGTGTAGCCAACTTGGACTCGTGTGAAGCCAAGCAATGTCTAAATCCCTTTTTGTTTTGAATATAGAGGTTTTTGAGTAAGTATGACTTGTCAAGTTTGGATATGTGGACAGGATGTTTGTTTTTAAAACTTTTTGTAATGTATGCACTTACTTATAGAATGGTTGCACAGTTTCAATATGAAGTCTTTTTATATGCACAGCTCAATGGATTACTTTCATGTTTTAACTTCCTTCCACTAAGCTTCACAATTTATATTCAATTGATTTTATATATAGAGGCCGTAGGTAATCTAAGATTACTGGCCGATCATGACGTTAAATTTATAAGAGCGGGTTTAGGTTGTAACAGTATAGATCCCACACTCACGTAAGAGGTTTAATAGAAAATTGATAGATTATTCGAGATACTTAGGCCTATTTTGGTAAGATGGTTAAAAGCTATTTTTTTTATTTTTTAGCTTTTTTAAATCACATCACTTTATATTTTTTTAATATATTTTTTAAAAAAATTAAAAAAAAAAAAACTAAAAAACTAACTTCTAGCCAACTTCTCAAAACAAGTCTTAGGGTTCGTTTGGGATGTGAGTTAGTTTTTTAGTTTTTTGACTATTTTAAGCTGGGGCTAAAAAGTCTCGTTTGGAATAGAGTTTTTTACTTTTTTGACTTTTGTTAGAGAAAAAATGAAATGATTATGAGTTAGATGTGATGTTTTGTCTTGTTACATTAAAAAATTTCGGTTGTATTTGGTAGAACTTTCTAAATATGATTTGAGAGTAGGAGTTCTATTTTGAGTTTGTGAATTTTGAAATTATTATTTGAGTGCGAAAAAATTGTTTAGTGAAAAAGTTTTGAATTGAGTGGGGAATTTTTGATGTAGCATATGATATTTGATACAAAAACTTACAATGCATAACCAAACACACAACTCAAAATTCTATTAAAACTCATAATATTTGCACTGTTCCGGTCAACCAGCTGGACGACCGGTGGAACGACCGATTATTCCAAATTTTCTCGCCTTCGATCGAGTTTTCAAAATTGAACGTAGAATTAACTTTTGAAAATTGTAAACAAACGTCATGTGCAAAATAAGTTTTGGAACTAACGTTCCAAACTTGTACCAAACATAACCTTATTTTATTTTTCTATAATTAAAATAGTCAACAAAATTTTAAAAATTGACATGTCGAACGAAAACTTAGCCTTAGAGCATCTCCAATGCACTAGGCATATAATGCTTGTTAGTTAAAATGACTAGTGTGATTCACTTTTTTCAATTCCAATGCACTAGCACTACAACAAAAATATACTTTAGTGGCACTACACTAGTGGCATATTTTTAGAAAATGCCACAAAAAATGATATTTAGTGGCACGTTTTTGAAAAATGCCACAAAACGACAAACATAAAAGGCTCTAGTGACATTTCAATGAACAAGTGTCACAAAACTATAACAAAAACTCCTCTAATTCCAAATGAGAAAATAAGGGACAACAACAACAATTATACAATGACAGAATCTACGGAACCTAAGTCCGGATACAATAATCAAATGGGAAAAGACCGGGGTCGCTATAGAAAATGTATTTATGGCATCCTTTAGTGAGGCCCTCGTCTGGGGGAATATAATACCATGGTCCATTGCTTAATAGGCCCTCACCTGGGGGTTATAATACCATGGCACATTGACAAGAGGCCCTTGCCTAGGAGAAATTAATGCCATGGCCCATTGATAAATAGGCCCTTACCTGAGGGAAATGAATACCATGGCCCATTGGCCCTTGCCCGGGGGATACAATACCGTGGCCCATTGGATAATTGAAACACAGAGATCTCTGATGTTAGACCTTCATGGTCACATTGAATATTAAACATTGATTGGCCCTTGAGGTCCCATTGTTAATGATACATGGTTACCCTACTAGATGTGCCACATGAATTAAATGAATTGGTTATTAATGTCAAGATTAACTAGAAATGTGAAATTGATATTTGTTTGTTATTGAATTTCATTCGTATAACCTCTTTAATCTGTTATTACTCATTGGGCAGTAGCTCACTATTTATGTATATATATATATATATATATGTATATGTGTGTGTGTGTAGGTGAACAAGTTAAGCATCAAGGATAGAGATTGCCTCGGAGTCACCCCGTTGTTAGCCTTGTGTAGAGCTTCTGAGAAGAAGCCAACTTGGACTCGTGTGGAGCCAAGCAAAGTCTAAATCCCTTTTTGTTTTGAATATAGAGGTTTTTGAGTAAGTATGACTTGTCAAGTTTGGATATGTGGACTGGATGTTTGTTTTTAAAACTTTTTGTAATGTATGCACTTACTTATTGAATGGTTGTACAGTTTCAATATGAAGTCTTTTTATATATGCACAGCTCAATGGATTACTTTTATGTTTTAACTTGCTTCCACTAAGCTTCATAATTTATATTCAATTGATTTTATATATAGAGGCCGTAGGTAATCTAAGATTACTGGCCGATCATGACGTTAAATTTATAAGAGCGGGTTTAGGTTGTAACAGTATAGATCCCACACTCACGTAAGAGGTTTAATAGAAAATTGATAGATTATTCGAGATACTTAGGCCTATTTTGGTAAGCTGGTTAAAAGTTTTTTTTTTTTTATTTTTTAGCTTTTTTAAATCACATCACTTTATATTTTTTTAATATATTTTTAAAAAAAATTAAAAAAAAAACTAAAAAAACTAACTTCTAGCCAACTTCCCAAAACAAGTCTTAGGGTTCGTTTGGGATGTGGGTTAGTTTTTTAGTTTTTTGACTATTTTAAGCTGGGGCTAAAAAGTCTCGTTTGGAATAGAGTTTTTTACTTTTTCGACTTTTGTTAGAGAAAAAATGAAATAATTATGAGTTAGATGTGATATTTTGTCTTGTTAGATTAAAAAATTTCGGTTGTATTTGGTAGAACTTTCTAAATATAATTTGAGAGTAGGAGTTGTATTTTGAGTTTGTGAATTTTGGAATTATGATTTGAGTGCGAAAAATTTGTTTAGTGAAAAAGTTTTGAATTGAGTGGGGAATTTTTTATGTAGCATATGATATTTGATACAAAAACTTACAATTCATAACCAAACACACAACTCAAAATTCTATTAAAGCTCATAAAAAAAATTTAAAAATTCAGAAAATATTTTTTTCGAATATATAAAAATTAATGTGTGAATTGCAATAAATAAATAAATAAATATTTGCACTGTTCCGGTCAACCAGTGAGACGACCGGTGGAACGTCCGGTGGGGACGACCGATTATCCCAAATTTTCCCGCCTTCGATCGAGTTTTCAAAATTGAACGTAGAATTAACTTTTGAAAATTGTAAACAAACGTCATATGTAAAATAAGTTTTGAAACTAACGTTCGAGAGCTGTACTAAACAGCCTTATTTTATCTTTCTATAATTAAAATAGTCAACAAAATTTTAAAAATTGACATGTCAAACGAAAGCTTAGCCTTACTCATTAACTGACCACGCGGCCGTAAGGATCTACCAAACCTCTAATCACAGTATCTATCCACTATATCATAATCATTACATCCACTAAACCAATATTTCAACATTAAACCTCAAAAAAAAAAAAAAAAAAAAAAACTTAATTACAACTTTTTACTTTTAATTATGTTCACTTTTACATCGTTACTGATTAATGCTAGCTACTCTCTCTCATCATGCACTACTTATAAATCCCATGACACAACCCACATCAGAGCAGAGCAATCAAGTTTCAGCCTCAATCTCTAACTCCTCTGTCTCTGTCTCTCTCTCTGTCTCTCTCAATGGATTCAAAAGTACAAATGTTCTTCATACCAAGTGTAATGGGGAGAGGTCACATTCTACCAGCAATAGATACAGCAAGGCTATTTGCAGCTCAAGGAGCTGAAGTCACCATAATAATAACACCAGCATATGCCCAGCTCTTCCAGAAAACCATAGAGAGAGACCAGTCACTAGGCCTTGACATCAACTTCCACATCTTCAAATTACCCACCTCTGACTTTGGCTTGCCCGATGGATGCGAGACTCTCCTCGCTGCCTCTGCCGGCATTATCGCTAAACTTTTCATGGCCTTCGAGAAGCTCCATGAACCCATCGAGCAACTCCTCCGAGAACGCCGCCCCGATTGCATCGTCAGCGACATGTACCATCCCTGGACTGCCGACCTTGGTGCTCGCCTCGGCATTTCCAGTCCCAGGTTCTTGTTCTATGGTACAGGTTTGTTCCTTTCTTTCTCTTTGATTTTAAATTGACACAACCTAAACTGTCACATCATTTTGAATACACATTTTGTGTGAATTTTTGTGTGTATATAACTATTATTAAAATTCTGATTCATGTTGCAGGTTTGTTTTCTCTGTGTTGTGAAGAGAGCATTCGACGGTATGCACCACATGACAAGGTAAATTCTGATGCAGAGACATTTGCTTTGCCTGGTCTCCCCGATGATAACATCATATTTACCAAGAGAAAAATCCCATACTGGTTTAAGGAGAAAGGAACTGGTTATGGACAATTCATTGACGAGGTTCTAAAGTCTGAGCTAAAAAGCTATGGGGTTATAGTTAACAGCTTTTACGAGTTGGAACCAGCTTATGCTGAGTATTTCAAGAATGAAATGGGCAGAAAGTTATGTCTCGTAGGACCGGTGTGTCTTTTCAACAAAGCATTCGAAGAAAAGGCCGAGAGGGGTGCAGAGAACTCCATTGATGGAAATACAATTTTGAAATGGCTCGACTCCAAACAATCCAAGTCAGTGCTCTATGTTAGTTTCGGGAGTCAGGCTAGTATGGCTCCTGAACAGTTCCTCGAGGTTGCTCATGGGCTCGAGACTTCTGGTTGTCCATTCATTTGGGTGGCCAGAGATATGTCAGAGTACGGCCAAGAAGAGAAAGAAAAGAAGGAAGGAGACAAAAATCGAGGCAAAAAGCTTCCAGAGGGATTTGAAGAGAGGATGACTAAGTCCGGACAAGGGTTGATGGTAAAAAGTTGGGCACCACAGTTGCTAATCTTAGAACATGCCAACATTGGAGGGTACTTGACACACTGTGGATGGAACTCGACGATTGAGGGGATAGGAGCGGGCGTTCCGATGATCACATGGCCATTGGTGGCAGAGCAATTCTTTAATGAAAGCATCGTTGTGGATGTGTTGAAGACCGGGATTCGAGTGGGGAATGAGGAATGGCTGTCGTATATTTGGGAACCCAAGCTGACGGTGAGGAGGGAGAAAGTGGAGGCAGCGGTGAAGTGGTTGATGGCTGGTAATGGTGGTGATGAAGTGGAGGAGATGAGAAGGCGAGCAAAAGTGGTGAGCGAGAAGGCTAAGAAAGCTGTAGACCATGGTGGCTCATCTAACGCCGATGCTATTGCTTTGATCAATGAACTTAAATCTCGTCGCCACCGTGTTCGTGCAAATAAATTATGATTATGGTATAATGATATGTGGTATAGATTCAACTCTCTTATTATTTTGTAGTATTAATAAGTAATATGAATCTCAACCACATGATTGTTTTTTTGTTTTTGTTTTGTTTTCTGGGGGAGCGGGTGGGGAGGAAAAATTTGGCCAAAGTCGGATTCTTGACTCTTGAGTCATCAATGACCGACGTACCTATTTCAAGCTTCTTCTAATATATGATGTTTGTATTATTATTATTGAATAATGGGTTCATTATAATAAATTACTTGGATTTTCCTGAATAACTTCTTTAATATTATTGTTAAGAAAAATTATTTATAAATCTTATATGGGGAATGTTGATCCATTTATTTCTAAGAGTTTTTTTTATGAATCAATTAATCTTTTTTGTTTTGAAAAGTTGTATTTATTTGATTTGGTGTTATTTAAGTTTAAATGAATATCTTTTTGTGATTTATTTTTCTAATTTTCTTATTTATTTTTGGGATGTGAATGAAAATGTAAGGTGTAAAAGATTTTTTTTTTGAGGGATTCGTGGTTGAAGTGTTGGTTGTCAAACATGGAAATCTACATTTCTGTTAGCGTAGTTTTCTGATGTTACATTGAAGTGTTACATTAGAGTGTTACGTTTGAAAAAAGTATACTAAGAATTTTTTGTGTGTTACATTTATTCGAGTATTATGTTTGAGAAAAATACACTAAAAATTTTCTTTAGATTGTTATGTTGTTACGTTTAAGAAAAGCACGCTAAAGAATTTTTTAGTATGTTACATTAGAATGTCATGTTTGGGAAAACTTCACATAAAAGTTTTTATGAGTTATATTGATTGGAATATTACGTTTGGGAAAAGTATACTAAATAATTTTTTTATAATGTTACGTTGTTATGTTTGAGAAAAATATACTAAGAAATTTTTTAGTGTGCTAAATTAAAGTATTACGTTTGGCAAAGTACACTAAAGAATTTTTTAGTGCTACATTGATTAGAGTGTTATGTTTGAGAAAAGTATATTAAATTTTTTTTGTGAAATGTTACATTGTTACGATTGAGAAATACATGCATTAAATTTTTTTTTACTGCGTTACATTGAAATTTTACGTTTTCGGAATGTTACATTGGAGTGTTATATTTAAGAAAAGTACATTAAAATTTTTTTTTGAAGTGTTACGTTTAATAATTTCAATATTATGAGAAAACTTACATTTATCGCTTAACACATCACATACGCGGATTTATACTTGACCCTTTATATAATTCACACTAAAATGAGATCTTTGGGTCTATAAGAAAAAAAGAAAGATCAAACAGTTTATAAGATCAAGAAAAAAAGAAAGATCAAACAGTTTATAAGATCAATATTTAAGATTTATTGGTACTTCACGTTTATTGTTAATCAAAAATAAAAATAAAATTAAAAATAAAAATAAAAATAAAAATGTTGTTTACTTCGAATAGTTATTTGAAAAATTATTTTAAAAGTGAAGTATGTTGTATACATTCAAATTTTGTATAATATGGACCATATCTAGAATGTCAATAGATGTACTTTTGGAAGCATGTTAATTTTACAAAAAAATCGTGTAAAATTTTGTTCATGTATAGGAATTATGTGTTTAGTGTTTTTGAGGTACGTAGAGAATCTGTTGTAGACACAATTCCTGATCATTTACATCTTGCGTGTCACTTTTAACGTCTGCCAAAATAGGACACAAATTTATATATTAACTACAATAAGGCATTTTTAACCGTTCATTAAATCTGACTAAAAATATGTCTAATTTCTCTATCTGATATTAGTTACTCTAACGATGAACTACTGTAACTTTCATCAAAACACCGGATGTCCGGAGGGAAGACTGGGTAGGGGTGGGATAGTTAATACCACACTAATTTGATAGGATTATTAATACCTCACTATTAGTATTGTGAATCAAACATGGCCTAAGGGGTCGTTTAGTAAATATATTGGACTAAAAAATCACAAAATGATAAAAAAAAAGTTAAAGGATACAAAAAAATTAAATAAGAAAAATACACCATTCCAAAGCCAAAAAGCCAAAAAAGCCACACAAGAATACCAAACGATTAAAAAAGTCTCAGACTAAAAAAGTGAAAAAGCTAACTAAAAAAGTCATTCCCAAATGAGCACTAACTACAATAAGGTATTTCTAACGGTTCACTAAAAATTTTATTAAATCTGAGTAAAAATATGTCTAATTTCTCTATCTGATATCAGTTACTCCAATGATGAATTACTGTAACTTTCATCACCAGATGTCTGAAGGGATGACTAGCAGGTCAACCGACAAGAGAATTTCATGAAATTTTTTTCACCCATTCGTTTTAGTTTCTCTCAATTTTTTTGCCATTTCTTTTTCCCTCTATTAAATCTTTGCCATTTCTTATTGTTCCATGCTCAAAAATATATTGCATGATTAGTGTTGCAAGTATGATGACTTTGATATACAAATTTAATTGTGACAGGTACTTGTGATAATCACAAGATAATGAATTTACAGAGAACAATAAGAGCAAGAAGAACAAATATTTGTAATAGTTACTCGGATAAATATATATATACATATATTAGAGAGAATGAAAAAAAAAAAAAAAACCAGCAACTAGTTAGGGAAAAAAAAAAAAAACAACCAATTAGAAAAAACCAGCAACCAGTTAGCTACTTGTATAATATATCTCAGCTAAAATAAAGAAGAAAAAAAAAACCAGCTACAAATTATTCCCTTTTTGGTTGCCAAGAAACTGCAGGGAAAAAAAAGAAAATCCTTTTTTGGTTGTCAAAAAATCAGCCATTCGTTGAAGAACCGTAAGAGGAGTCATGCTGGAATAGAGGGTTTGGGTTTCCTTTTCAATTTTGTGCTGTTAACCTGATGATCGAGGGGACAATCGGCCGGATGTTTGGTGAGTCTCACCCCCAACGTTCACGCATATCAGTTTTGGTGAAAGATTTGGGTTGTTTTCAATTTGATAGAGTTTTGATGAAATCGTTGGAGATAAAAAAATAAAAAGTTGTACTTTTTCACTAAATTTAAATTTGGTGATACATTTGATTAAACGTTGGAAATGGCCTATTGAATTTCATTTTTTAATGAAGTTAGACAACACAATTTTTATTACTCAGACTTTGAAAAGTATTGTCGTATTTTCGTAACAAAAATGTTACAGATTTTAAATATTATATCAAAATTTCTATCAAATTTCTCATATAGGTGTCAAACTTACATAGAACCCACATGGTAACGGGTCCCATACCCATATAAGACATTTGATAAAAATTTTAAAGAAATTTTAAAATTTCTATTATTACTCTTTCTGTGATGGATATGAAACTAGTTAGTTCTATATAGTTTTAGAATTCTGCTGATCTCAAGTACGCTATCTCCATCATTGCATATGAGAATGTAGATTTTCTTCTTTTTAAGGTTCTTTGTATTTACATCGTGAGTTCTCTTAAAAATACTTTTTTCCATGTATGTTACTCTAATGATCAATGATATGATATATTAACATAAATAATATGACATATTAACATAAATACAAAGAAGAATATATTCTTATGATATACATTACATTCTACAAAAGGCCAAATATGGTTTCAAAATAAGTCACAAATTTATGTTGAGAAATGATGTACTGCTATTCTAATTCAAAAGTTAAACTTATTTTCAAATTTAGTGATGTGGTAGACTATTAGAATATTTAATGCAACTCTGTCTTTAATATTTTATTTAATCATCAACTAACCATTTTTTTTATACAACAATGGTTTTTGAAAATAGATCTTAAAAAATGAATTTCTATATCATTTTCTAATTAGTATATATGTACCTCATTATCTAAATTTTATTTTACACACGCCTGGGTGTGGGATGCAGGTCACAGAGGCAGCTGCCTCGGGCCCTAATTTTTTACCAACATTGGGCCCCCAAAAAGTTAAGGCAATAAAATAGGGCCAATCTTCTTATATAAATTGAAGCGGCCCAAAATTTTGGAAGTCAAATTAGAAAAATAAAATGGGCCTTAATGTGACATATTGAGGCGCATTCTGTTTTTCAATCCCATATGTTTTGGTCAATTACGGGCCATAAATTAGAAGGGCCCAAAAACCTTGGGGCAAAATCAAGTTATATAATATTTTGGGTCTAAATTGAAAAACAAATTCTTATATTAATTATAAGAACTGACAGTTTTTTTTTCAAAATATATTTAATGGTACGATGTGTATATTATAAAGAATAATTTTAAATTTAATTTAAAATTAAAATTAAAGTATGATTTTAATTATTTATTTGGATAATATTGACACTATCATTCTATAAAAAATGTTACTTAAATACTTATACATATATATATATATATATATTAATTTTAGTTAAATTATTTGTATATTTTGATAATTTATATTATGATACGTGTTACAAAAAAAAAAATCTTAATTTAAATTTTAATTATTTATTTTAATAATCTTAGTCTTATCGTTCTATAAAAGTGTTAGTTGAATATTTATATATAATAAATTTAGTTAAATTATTTGTTTATTTTGTTCTATTGTGCTATAGAAGTGTAATAAATTTTGCTCTATTGTGCTATATGTAATTATTTATTTTGGATATTTATATATAATAAATTTAGTTCTATTGTGCTATAGAAGTGTAATTATCATATAATGATTTTTATTATTATATATATATATTAAATTATAAAATTATAAAATAAACACTCTTAATTAAATTAAAATATCAACTATATAAAAAAAATTCAACAACGTCTAACTAAGAAAGAATCACATAACAACATCTAAACATAAAAAGAAAAAATAATGAAAACATCCAAATGATAGATACATCTCAATGTGTAAAGTAATTAATCATCTGTAATATAATGTCAAAACGTAAAAGAACTTACTGTTCAACAATTAAAATAGTAACTCAAGCAGTAAATTCAAATTTTAGAGGTTCCTCGAGAGTATCATTGTTATGTAGGTTTTTCCTCTTGTGAGTTGTGATTATATAAAATAATGTGAGAAATAAAGTATAATTTTATATATAAAATCACTATAAAATTTAAAACGACAAAATTGGGGTTATGGATTATCTCAATTTAACAAAATATATAAAACAAGAAATATTTGTTAAATTTATATATTATGGATTTGTTATTTTAGTAGTTTCATTAATTCTCTAAATATTTTTTTGATGTTCAAAAAATAATTGTGAGTGCAAAACACACTTTTCTTGATTTATGTTTATTTTGTTGTTGTTATTTATTATTTTTATTTATTTGATGTCGGTTTGATATTGTATTGGTATGAAGATGATGGAATATGGATTGGGATTTAATCCTAATTTAATATTTAATTGTCTAAATTTTGGGGCATGACAACTTTAGGGTCTTTGATAGAAAATTTCATTGGATTGGTTAAGGTTAAGTCACCGAATTGACTAAGTATTTTGTTAAGGTTAAGTCTTAAAACAATGATAGGTTGCATTTGTCATATAAAAATGCTATCAATTGGACCAATGTATTGACAAAATAAAAAATTCAAGGTTAAAATCAATTCAATTGAAATTATAAAGACTAAAATGACATAATAGCCAAAATAGAGGGCCTAATAGTATAATCTGCCCTAATTGGTAGCATTTTTTATTTTAGAATAGCATGCAAAACTTGTCTTACAATTAAACAAGGAATGAACATTGTAGACCTAAATTCTATTGTTTAAATTTAGACAAAATGTGCTACCACTACAACAAAATGCACATTTGGCGACTAAAAAAAAATTAGTCAGCAAAAGTTAGGGAATTGGCGACTAATAATTTTTTTGTCGGCAAAAATAAAATATTTTGCTACTAATTTTTTTTAGTCGGCGTATATTGATTATTGGCAACTAAAAAAAAAATTTAGGTCTCGTTTGGGAACATGCTAATTTAGTAACTTTTTTGCTATTTGGCTAAAATATGAGCTAATAAAAACTAGTATGTTTTGGATGCCTTTTTGACTTTTTATGAAAAGATGTGCAAAAAGTAGAGAGAAAAGAGAATCTTTGACTTTTTAGTATGGGTTGTTGGCTTTTTGATTTTTTTAGTGACTTTTTGACTAAAAAAGCCACTTGCCAAATAAGGCCTTAGTCGCTAAAAAATCCAGAATTGGCAACCAAAAAAAAAATTTAGTCGCTGTATATTGAGTTTTAGCTCCTAAAAGCATTTAGTCGCCAAATGGAAAGTAAAAAAATTATTTTTTGATCTTTGGCGACCAAACTTTGGTTGCCAAAAACTTAGTTTTAGCGACAAAAAAAAAAATTTAGTCGCCGTATATTAAATTTTTGGCTACTAAAATTATTTCATCGCCGAATGGAAATATAAAAAAATTATTATTTATCTTTGGCGACCAAAAATTTGGTCACCAAAACCTTATTTCAGAGACCAAAAACTATTTTAGTCGCCAAAAACTAAAAATTTTTGAAGCCAAACATTTCAAATTTTGGAGAGATTTTATAAAATGAATTGGCGACTAAAAATATTTAGTCGGTAATTGTGTAATATATATATATATATATATATATTTGGTTCCCAACAACAGACCAGCACCTCTGTCTCTCTCTCTCTTTAGCGTTTCTCTCTACCTCTCCCTCTCTCTCTGCCTCTGCCTCTCCGTTGCTCTTCTCCCTTCCCTCTCTCACTGTCGCTCCACCAACCGTGCCTTCGCCGCTCCTCCTCACGGTCGCCGACAACTGGGGTACCAATTGCGAGCTCTCTCTCTCTCTGTGCAGTTCGCATATTGACCCAAAATCTAGGTTGGTGATTAGGTCTTCTTCTACACCATTTTTCTAGGTATTGATAGAACCATCACTGTTTTTCTTCATTGAAATTATTTCCTGTATATAATCCAGAAGATGAGTGTAGATCTGGTCGCCTCGAATACCCATGGGAATCTCGATGAGCACATGTACAGCTCATGCAGTGCAAATCCTTGTCCAAGCCTGAGGTACCTCTCTCTCTCTCTCTCTCTCTCTCTCTCTCAAAGTCTCAATTTTGAAAGCTCTCTCTTTCTTTCCACTTTCTAGGAAAATTTCCAGAATCATCCTCACACCCCTCTCTGTTTCTTCCTCTTCTAGTCTTCTTTGTGTGTATATATATATACATATATATAAATCAAAACCCATTAAAATCTAATGGCTCGTTGGCCCCCATGAATTGTTGGTTTGGGAAGTTGTCATGGCTTTTAAATTTGTTTGTTTGTTTGTTTTTTTTTCTTGCCTTCAAACTGTTTGATAAAATGTCTCTTGGGCTTCTCAAAAATCTAATCTACTTTTGTAGCTGTGGTGTTTTCAGCACCATTTTGGCCACTGGCTGAGTATCAATAGTTGAGTCACAATTTGAATGAATGGATGATATCAGCAAGTTCTATATACTCTAATATCAGCAAATTTTTCAGGTGTTGAATAATTTAAAAAGGTAATTTTATTTCTCACCAATTTTGAGTAAAATCTGATGACATAAATTGTTAAGAAACCTCAATTGGACAGTGCAGTGTGTAAATAGTGTTCTTTGAACTATGTTGGTAAAAGATATTAATCCAAACAGAGCTCTGTTGCCTATTTTGTTGCACCAATTTTATGATTATATCGTATGACAGTAAATATGTGATGATGTTATATTGTCCTTTGATATAAATATAACCAATAAGAGGATATATAGATGCATTCTTAGAATTGTTGAATGATGGTCCCTGTGAAAAAATTCAAAATAAAAATTACAAATTAATAATCATCTGATGCCTAATGTATAGTATATACAGAAGGTATTTTTTATAGAAATAATTCAATGGGTTTCAATGTGAGATAATACCATATGAACATTCAAACCGATAATCTGAAGAACTTGTTCATTTTATAGTTCTACCTACTTCAGAGAAATGCATTGGCACAGGCAGCTTAAGATTATTTCTTAATGTTTTGGTGAGACAGGCTGATGAGTCTTTTTTTGTTTGTTGTGGTTCCACTAAGCCCAAAAGTCATCTTTTTCACTTTGGTCTTGCTTGAATCTTGCCTATTTTATTTTGAGTTTAAATGTTTATTGTTTTGATTTGATTCACAATGAAGGGGTTATTCTTTAGTTGTAGTTATTATATGTAATTTTCAACCCTATTTGTGACCTAGGACGAGCAATATCCTTCAAAAGGCTTATACCAGAATTGGGGATTAAATTTTATTATTGATTGGAACTCCCATGATCTCAAAGGTGCCCTCTTTTCTCTTCTTTCTTCACTTCTCTTTAATGGGTATTTGATAGTTTTTGTGCTGTTGTTGTTGTATAAAAAAGTCCTAGATGTCCAATTGGAACTGAGATTGAAGAACCCACTGTAATTTCTAGGTTTTTGATGATGGGTTGTGGAAATTTTGAATTTTTTATTTGAGTATCATTCATATTGTCTTTGTTCTGGTTTTCTACTGGATTTACTCCTGCAGACCAGCATCTTATAGATTATGGATCACCCCGCAAAAATCATACTTTTAAAGACAAAATGAAGGAATTTAAAAAATATATATATTTAATTATGTTATTACATTTTGTTTGGAAGAAACAGTACAAGTAACGTGGAAAAAGGATGGTACGAATATAAGGTACTTGCATTTGCAAGATATAATTCTATACTTATGTTGTTTTGGTACTATATATAACCGTCTTTGTGCTGTTAATGGATCAAAAATAAAAAAAAATAAAAAATTATAGTATTATGGCATTATGGGTATGTTCTAAGTTTTCAATTGTATCTGTTAATGCATCTATTGATTTATTAGTGTTACATTTGATATAATGATCTGTTGCTATAATTAGGATAGACTCTATCCTAGTTGTGTAAGATTCCATGTCAATTATTGTTAGTTGAAATTTAAAAATATTGTTTTGCATGAAAATGATGTGATTTTGATGTATCCATCGGTTTTGGGGTTCAAGACAAGTTAGGATATATTGGATGAAATTGATGTTGATTGTTGTGGTTGAATTTTTGCTCAAATTTTGACTTTTAATGATCATAGTGCTGTTGTAAGTTCTGTAATTATAGTCAGCTTCTTAATTTCCAATGATAGAACTCAGTTTCTTACTTGATGTTGAAACATGAATATAGTGCCAACTGAATTCTTGCCCATTGTCTGTAATTATAGTCAAGTGTGGTTATTGTTAGATTCTTGTGGATTTCCTTTTCTACTTTCCACAGTCATCCAAGATATTTATTCAAATTGCCTATTACATGTTTGTTTATATGCCAAGCTCAAGTTGAAGACTGTTTGGCAACCATTGAAAAGAGAGAGAGAGACAGAAGGGCTGGTTTATTCAGATGAATCCGGATCCTCGGTCGCCCTTGCCTGCGGCTGTTCCTTGTAGCGCCCCAAAACGACGTTGTTTTGGGGGTAAATTTTCAAAAAAAAAAAAAAATGCAGAGGAAGAGGGAGGAATGAGAGGAAGAGGGAGAAAGGAGGAAGGAGGAGGAGGAGGAGGAAGAAGGAGGTTGCAAGCTCGCCGTCGCAGCTCGTCCCTGGAGGAAGAGGGAGGAAGGAGAGGAAGAGGGAGAAAGGAGGAGGGAGGAGGAGGAGGAGGAGGAAGGAGGCTGCGAGCTCGCCGTCGCAGCTCGTCGCCTCGCCGCCCGCCGTCGCAGCCTCCCGATCGTCGCCCGCCATCGCTCGTCGCAGCAGCTCCCACCGCCGTCCGGCCCCACCTCCGCCTCCTCCTCCTCCAGTGCGTTTTTTTTTTTTTTGAAAATTTGCCCCCAAAACTACGTCGTTTTGGGGGCTGCAGGAAATGGCCACCGAAAAGGGCGGCCGAGAATCCGGACTCTTATTCAGATTGGCAACCATTGAAGTTTGTTTGGCAACCACTGTTCTATTATAATCACTTTTGACTTATAGGCTTGCCATCTTGTGGTATTAGCTGATTGACACTTGACAACATACATGCAATTTGTAAACTGACAAAATTTAGCATTGATTCGACTTGTAGATTTAAACTGACATTGGATGCAATAGTGTTACACTTATTTATTTTGATAATTTATTTAATTATGTTTTAATTTATTTGAAAGAGAAAAATAGAATTCAAAATTTATTTTGATGATTTATTTAATTATGTTTTAATTTATTTGAAAGAGAAAAATAGAATCAAAATTTATTTTGTCCCATTATTTCTCACTTAAACCTTTATCCTAAATGTTCTTAGAATGTATTTAATATTTGATTAAATCAGGAGTTCAAATAACTAAAAACAGAGGTTCAAACAGCCCAGCACAGCAGCAGGCCAAAAGGTTCAAGTAGAAGATATTCAAGTTAGTAATGATGGAGTGGAAGAAATTCAAATTAATAATGATGGAATACAACAGTTATAAACGGTTATAAATTCAAATGAATACAACGGTTATAAATTTAAATGAATACAACGGCTATAAACAGCTATAAGTTTCATTATATATTCCAAAGCCTCTAATGCAAACAAGTTACAAAAAAATCAGAAAATATTCTTTCATCTATAATCACTCACATCTATTCTCTGAAAAATTCTCTGAGAAGTGTTCTTCAATTTTTGTTTACATCCTCTTTTAAAAATTATACATTGAGATGTATAGCTTTAAGCCTATCTTTCCTGTGTGAGATTTACAAAAAAATCAGAGTTACATTTTGTATATCCATCTGGGAGAGATATTTATTGTAAGCTTTCTTTGAAAGCAAAAATACCATTTCATCTTGTAAAAGTGTTGCAAACACTGTGTTCTTGAAATCTTGAAAGCGATTGTGAATCACTTAAGATTTGCAAGGGTTTGGACTTGTGAAGTCTGTGTAAAATCTATGGAGGATTCCTCCATGTTTATGAGGTTGCTAGTACCCCTGTGAAGTTAGAAGATAGTAGAAAATCTCAAGTGAAGCTTGAGGAGTGGAAGTAGGCTTGGTTGAAGCCGAACCACTATAAATCTGTTTGTCTCATCTTCCTTAATCTCTTTACTTTCCTATTACTGCTATAACTATCTAATATTCATGTGTTAATCATTTGATTTACCCTGTATGTTAGTTATACTTCATTATTATTTTGCTTGTTCATTTACAGCCAAGTTCATCGTTGTGCTTGTTATTAATTTGTTGTACTAGTAGTAAATTTTATTGGGGTATTATTCATTTTAATTTGTAGAAACCTAATTCACCTCATCTTAGGTTGCTTTTTGGGTAACAAATAGTAATAAATTATACAAATTTATTTATTGATTTAACTGAGCATATAAAGAGGAATGATAAATCCTACCCGGTTGCAATGGCGGCTCCAAGAATTTTAATCAGGGTATTCATTAAGTAACTTAAAATCTAACAACTGTATTAAAAAAACAAATATAAAAGAGAACTCTAATATATTAATATTAATGTTTTAAAAAAAAAAAAAAAAAAAAAAAAACTTGCAATTAGATAAAATATTACAATTGTCATCAAAACTACTTGCAATTAGATAAAATATTACAATTGCCTTTGACGAGATTTCATATTTTGAAAACGTTGCATAATCTCCTCATTATCAATGCTATCAAATAGATCTCTTTCAATGTATGTAACCAAACAATCATTCATCCACTGATCTCCCATTCGGTTACGCAAATTGCTCTTTATATACTTCATTGCTGAAAAACTTCTTTCCACTGTTGCTGTCGCGACAGGTAGAGTCAATGCTAATTTCACAAGCAAATAGACTAATGGATATATCACATGTTTATTTATCTCCACCAACTTTATAGCAAGATCACCAACTCCTTTAAGTTCTAAAAAGTCTTCAGTTAGGCGCATATCAACAATGTAGTTTTGAAGTTGGATGTCAAGGACCATTAAATCTGTTGCAGAAAAATCATATGGATAGAACTCTGCAAGACGAATCAACTTATGCTTATCAAAAGCAAAGAATGATTTACTAGGATTCAAGCAAGCCATACAAAGAAGTAACTCAGTATTTGCTTCTAAAAAGCGATTGTTAAGCTCTTGAAGTTGCATATCTAAGACTCTGTAGAATAGCTCAACTTGATAATGATGTAAATTTGCAATTTGTAGAGCTTTGCGTTGTGGCCGCTCATTAACTACAAATATTTCATCTATATTTGGAATAGAAATCTCATGTTTGTTACAAAATGAAGACACTTCAGTCAATAAAGATTCCCATTTATCATCTCTCATCATCCGCAAATCGTTGCTTAGATACTTTAACAAGTGTCATAGCATTGACAATATCTTGATTTTTCTTTTGCAATGCTAGCGACAACTCATTTGTAATCCCTAAAATATTTTTCATCAAGTGTAAAGTGAAGGCAAATTCAAAATATAGCATTAACTTCATGATAGAACGAGCTTCAACTCTTTGCTTGGGTTGTAAGCCATCCTCTTCAATAATCTTAAGTACATCAATCGAAGAAGAGAACATCAAAATCAAGTTGATAATTGTCTCAAAATGTGATCCCAACGTGTATCACAAGCATGTTTAAGACTAGTCTCTTGATTCAAACCTCGCCCACTTCTAAGTTCACCATTGTCTAGTGCTTCTATTATTTTAGCAAATTGCACATCTCTAAGAGCATCTCGTCTCTTGCAAGAGCCACCAACAACATTCACTATGTTAGCAACATAGCAAAAAAGCTCAGCAACGTCAATGTGCTTTTTAGCAACAGCTACAAGAGTCAATTGAAGTTGATGGGCAAAGCAATGAACATAAAATGCAGATTTATTCTCCCTCAAAATTAAAGCTTTAAGACCATTGAATTCACCTTGCATATTGCTGGCTCCATCATAGCCTTGCCTTCGTAGTTTTGATATACTCAATCCAAGTCGACAAAATAAGGATTCAATTGCTGCTTTAAGTGATAAAGCGGTTGTATTTGATACATGTACAATACCAAGAAACCGTTTTATAACAATGCCCTTTTTGTCCACATAACGTAGAACAACTGTCATTTGTTCTTTAACTGATATGTCACGAGACTCATCAACTAAAATTGAAAAAAACTCATTGTCCAAATCCTTTATGATAGCATTGATAGTCTCACATGCAGCAGCATTCACAATGTCTTTCTGAATATCATGGTGAGTTAGCTTATTATTTTTCGGAGTATTCCCCAATACAACTTTATTGATAGATTCATTATGATCCGCCAAAAATTGTAGAAGTTCAAGGAAATTTCCTTTATCACTTGAATCATCAGATTCATCATGACCACAAAAAGCCAACCCTCGACGCAAAAGGAATCGTATGCAATCAACAGTTGCATTTAAGCGAGTCCGATATTCAATTTTTTCTTGATTTGACTGCTTAAGAAAAACACTTTGAATGTGTTGCTTTTGCTTCATAAGATCTTCACACTTCTTCACAGCTTGGTTGTGAGCACTATTAACACCTCCAACATGAATTTGTAACTTGTTTTTCATATTCCAAATTTTAAATCCCTCTGTCACAAAAGTGTCACATCCCTTTCCTAAATCGGGCCTAAACAAGTAACAACATAAACAAAATGCTGCATCTTTTTCAATACTATATTCCAACCAATTCTTGTATTCTTTAAACCAAGCAGAATTAAATCGGCGCATAACTCCACTAATATCTCTTTGAGGGAAATTGTGGCTAAGAGGTTGACAGGGTCCTTTTTGTAAATATGTTCTTATTTCGTCCCTATCATTAGGATGATATGATAAAATTTTTT